AGATTTCACCTCACTCCAGAAATAATGGCAGTCATCAAGAAATCAGATAATAAGAAATCTGGTGAGGTTACAGAAAAACTGGAACACTTTCACATTTTTTGGTGAGAGTGTAAACTAATGAACCACTATAGAAATCAGTATGAACATTTCTCAGACAATGAAAACCAGAAACTCAGCTGTTCCTCCACAAAGTGTCTTCCTGAAAGAGTTAAAGACATCATAGTATGGTGATCCGTGAATACTCATGTTTATGGCAGCACAATTCACAATAGCTGAATCTTGGAAGATACCAATATGTCCATTCACAGATGAACAAAGTAAGAAAATGTGGTATTTAAATGTGATGGTGTATTACTCGGTTGGACTGTATTCTTTATCCTCCATCAGTCTTCCTGGGCCTCCACCATTGTGGCCCCACTACTTTAACTCTTAGGAAGGTTGAAGGGTCCCTCACATCACCAGCTAGGGTGGAGGGAGAGGGAGTGAGGGGAAAGGAGAAGGAAGTTTAGGAGAGCAAGGAGACCGAAGGGGGAAGGGGATGGTGCTGAACGAAGTTGGAAGACTGCCAGGACAAATACCACTAACTGACAACTTTGTAAAGAGCTCATAAGAAGCTACAACATAAAACTCTCCAATCATACCAGTCTCTGGGAGAGGCTGCTTCACTAATTTGCAGCAGAAAAATAAACAGAAAACTAAATAACTTCATACTTGCTTAATTGTCTCTAAAATCTATTTTAGTCTAATATTAGGAATCTATAGAGTTATTTGATATGGAAATACTTTTCACTGTTCCTAAAACAATAGAACTTTCATATACTTTATTAATCTCATTAATTTAAATACAGAAATCTGTGCTCTTTATAACAGATGAGTCATAAAATCTTCATTTCTCACTGTCACATACCTATGTCATGATAGAGCTCATAGAGTGATAGTGTTCGATTTTTGAAAAATTGTTTATACAGTGATTGAAAGGAACAATAAAATTTTCTGTCTTATTCAAAAAAGAGATGCCCTGGTATATAATTTTAAAAAAAGAACACAGAGCCAAGCAGGAATTTTTATTTAATCTAATTCTCACGCATTGTGTGGCTTGAATAACTTTAAAAAAACTTACTGAGACTTTCTTTGTATTTCTCAAGGAGAAGGAAAAGAAGAGGAAGAAGAAGAAGGAGGAGGAAAAGGAGAAGAAAAAGAAGGAGGAGGAGGAGAGGTAGGGGGATAGGGAGAGAGAAGAGTTGGCGGAGGAGAGGGGAAAAGAAGAGAAACAGGTAAAGCAAAAGCAATATAAATATTAGCATTAAAGATGAATACCATTATTGCTTTTTTAAGAAATCAATCCTTATTTAGGTTTAATATGGAAGAGGCATTGCTTTTAAATGATTCACATAAACTGTCTTATTCTTCACATTGTCTACTCCAAATTAGATACTACTCCTGTCTTCATTTTGGAAGACAAATAAAAACTGAAGCACTAAAAAAAACCAAGATATTATCTAAAATCCACAGGTAAGAAAGTTAAACAGTGGGAACTGAACTCAGGTGATCTGACTCTTAAGGAGTCCTTTCCTGTATAAAACTCCTTTATAACTAGACGGTAGCATAATAGTTATACTTAGTACATCCAGTTTGTAAATATATACATGTATAGGTTCAGTAAAAATCTATTGACAACCTAACAGTCCAGGAATTGAAGATAAAGTAGCAAACAGACAAAATCTTTGCCCTTACAGAAGGTACATTTTAAGAAGAGATCCAAGAAACTAAAACACAAACAGGAAAATGATAGCATTTCAGATCGTGACTATTGCAAAGCCACCAAGGGCTCAGAGTTAGCAAGATGGAAATGGAGAAGTCTACTTTGCAGAAGTGCTTAGAGAAGACCCCAGTCATGAGTTTATGTTGAAGAAACCTGAAGGGAAGACGAGGCAGGACCTGTGACCCACCACCTCCGATGAACCAGAACACTCCATGCAGATGGAACACCAGGCAAAACCCTGAAGGCAGAGTGAGCTTGGTGTGCTCTTTAAATGCTTAAGAGATACCACAGTCCGCAGAGTGAGCGGAGTGGGGAGTAGCAGTAAGATGAGCACCAAGGCGGAGAATATCAAGATAGAGCACACAGACGGTAGGGGTTATCCTAGGACTTTAACTCTCCAAGACGAGAGGCCATTGAAAATGCTTGCACAAAGGCATCATGTGATACGATAATTTGGGATGACATGAGCATAGTACACAACAGTGAGGTAAACTCAGAGGCTATTTCTCTAGGCTGCGAATGATGATGTCTTTGGTTAGCACAGAAATAAATGTGAGAAGTGGCCATGTCTTCAGTGTCTTTTCGGGATACAAAAACTGGATTTGCTGATGGATACGATGCAAGCTGCCAGAGAAAAGAGAGGGATGAAGAATGACTCCTGAGCAATGAAAAAATGGAGTCTTAATATCTGATACAGGAAATCTGCAAAAATAAGTTTGAAGAGCAAGACCAGAAATCTAACTTTCTACTTGTGTTTGAGATATCTATCTATTAGATATACCAGTGAAGATACTGGAAACAGCTGCTTTTATGATTCTGGAAATCAGAGGTCAGGTTAGTAAGAGATCACTTTCTAGATACCTAAAGCCAAATGATTGGAAGGCAACAAACTCTTTAGAGACTAGAAGGGAAACAATTTAAGAACTGAGCCGTGGGGATCTGAAGCATGTAGATAATGTGGAGGGAAGGATGATCCTTTGGAGACCAAGAATAAGCATGGAAGAGGGAATGATAAGCATGATCTACAGGGAATGATTTTTTTTTCCAAAGTGGAAGTGATCAACTGCTGGATACTACTGACAGATGCAGTAGCTGAGGAATGACAGTCAACCACTGAATTCAACATAGTGGAGATCATTGGTAACAATGACAAGAATTCCATGGTTAGGTGAAGGACTAAGAGTTGGACAGAAAGGGAGGCAAGCTACAAAAGTTTTACTGTTGAACTGAGACTAAATAGTAACTGAATAGAGGGAGAGAGTGATACTGAAGTACTTTTTAAAAGAATGGCAAAAGTGATCCCTTGTTTCCATATACATATATTAACCAAGATGATACAACAGAGAAAGGAAATGATCACTGAAGGATTAGGATTGACACTGACAGAGAACAGAATAGTTTTCAGTGTCCAGTGCTGGAGAGAACTTACAAGTGTGGACAGTACCTACACATAAAGAGGAGGCAAACAACTTTCCCTCTTTTCATTAGTATAAGTTTGCAATATGTGACAACTGTGCTCATCTTGGGAGCTGGTGCATATGCAAATCACAGCTTAATCATCTTCACATCACCTTCCTGCCACTTCCCACCTGTCTCTCCCCATCTCAGGTCCCTTCCTCATTTCCACAAAGAATTCCTGGGGAGCAGGGAAATAGTTCTTTGAGGAACTGTAAAATTTAGAGGCTGTGTAGAGGGTATATACTTGTAAGTTGCCACAGAGCTAGAAAGATGACTATCCTGTCATGAAGTAGTAGACTATCACAAAGAGTTGTGTGTGGGCAAAACTGTCAAATGTTGAGAGGGCAAGAAGATAAGGAGTCAAAGTATCCACTGAATACAGAAATGGCTAAATCAGTGGAGAAACTGGCAAGCTATTTTGGTAAAATGATAAAGGCAGATGTCACCGTGTGTGTCTCAGCATGACTCAGATATAAGAAAGTTGCCACAGGCAGTCCAGGTGAGATGTCAAGCTGACAAAGGACTGGCACAGAAAGGGACGGGGGACACATGGGAAACAGGAGTGTAGGCAGGGTTTTCTGAAGGGATCCTCTGGAATCTGTTTAGATGCCAGAAGGAGTCTTCCACTGGATATAAAGTGCTTTACCCAGCAAAGAGTTCGCCTACTTCACCGAAAATGTATGTATAAACACACTTTGCTAATTTTTTTTTCTAAGACATTCCTGATTGGTTTTTCAAGAAACATTCTCCTTTTTATTTTCTTTTTCAATTTTGCAGTTTTACCACATCAACAATCAAATGGATATTAGACAAGAAGCAGGAAACTGTGCCAAATCCACCTCTACCACCACCACTGCATCTGTGGCTTTCTTTAATTAGCACAGTTTGTCCAAACCATAAGGTTTAGCCGCAGGCTTCTAACAAGTTGTGTAACCGGATTAAGGAACACTTACTTCCTTGAGCTGAATCAAAACTACCCTTTTGGCTGCCAGGCTCCACTTACATTCTGGGCAGCAAGGACAGAGAACAGGGCACCTCTGTCCTCAGGTCTATGTACTCCTCTTCTGCCAGAGCCATTCAGCATGTGTATATTTTTGATGTTTTTACTCATTTCTCAGATTAAAGGTATGTCTTACTCTTTATATCAGGATTTTCTTATTGGAATATGAGCTGATGCCTTCTTAGCCACAAATCTTAACTTTAAATGATAAAACAGTGAACTATGTATGGTTTGGTGATTTTTGTTGAGGATGTGGTGTAGTGCTTGTCTAGGTTATGGCTAATCAGGAGATGGAATGATTCTGCGAAATACCATCTGGTGGCTCACAATGAGGAGGAGGAAGAGGAAGCGAATGCGTCCTGGATGCCTACATTATCGCAGGCAATGCGGTGACCACTAGCCATGCTGTATTTTGGAATGTTTAAAATTCAGTATTATTGTCTGCACTTTACAGATACAAAAATGAGAGTAGTAGCATAGATCAGACATGGCCTATGCTTCTCTCGGTCACACAAGTAATAAATCCGTAAAACCTTGACTCAAGTTGGAGACTACTCCCAAAGGCACTTAGCCTCTCCTCCCCTCTTTATTGCGTTTTAAGGTTGGGGATCACTATCGCTTCACAGATTGTCTTGCAGGATAGGACCTGAAGATCATGTTTAGCAAAGCATGGTCCTATCTCGAATTCTCTGACAAATGACAGCCATATGTTTCATTGTGGGATGAAATACTTCAAACGCAAATGTTCCTGGAAGATAAAATTCAGTAATTTATGTTGAAATGGGCCATGCCAGCACAGGCTTTGACAGGAGGAAGAATCCAACTTTAGAACAAGGTGACAACATGGAAGCCGAGAAGGGATGTGCACGTCGTTACCTCTTTTCCAGTGTGGCTTGTATTTTCCCGATCTGTAAATATCCACCTCAGTCTCCTTGCCTGGAAGACTAGGCTGTGAAGGGAAGCCAGGGAGCATGCTGACAGCTCTGTTCTTCAGTCACCACAGAAGAATTTTAACACAACCCGGGTTCCCCTGTGTTTCCTTTCAGAAAATGCAGCCTTCGGAGCAGATGGTCCGGAGCTGGTTCTTCCTAAAAAGCTTCCTCTGGTTCACAAGCGGGATGTCGAAGACACCCATGACTCGGACATACCGGTATAACTTTGCTTTTACTAGATAAGATTTCTGGGTTCACACGTATATACAAAGCTGCTTCTGGCCTCAAACACACCCAAATAGGAGAGAGGATTCACTGTTTTCAGAGAAGTGCTACCCTTGCATAGCATGTGTGCAGGAGGAAAACGCCCCTCTGGGGTTGGGAGGCAAAGCTCAGCTTTTAGGCGGCACCACTTTCTGTTTCTTGGCTCAGGAGAAATATCACTAACAGATTCCCAGGTTGATTTAAAGCAACCACATTTCTTCTGAGCTGTTGCCCTGGAATGTAATCTCCACATTTAATTCATTTTCCCAGAGAGCTGGCATGTAGGTTCATTTGTTGGACAGAGTATTGCAAAATTAAAAAACTTTCACAGCAACACAAGATCCTGCTTGGCCTGTCACTTGCAAGAGTGTCTTTTCCAGGTGTTAAAAATCTTAAAGTATTTAACATTGTTTCCAAAAGTCATTGGATATTTATTATAGTCAACAATAAAAGATGCAAGGAGAAGCAAGTTTCAAAATTACTTTGCATCCCAACTGTCATAAAAGATCTTATGTGAATGTTTTTAGATATGGGGGTCCAGGAAGATAACTCAGTGATGCCGCACCTCATGCCAAGCACAAAATCCTGAGTTCAATTCCCAGTAACCCTCCCAGTTTCCCCCCAAAAGGAAAAACAAAATGTTTATCATTAGGCATTTGTATCTAGATCTGAGGTTTTAAATTTAACCCATAGAAAGTACTGCCAGGCATTTTGCCATCAACTATGGAAGAACGAATCTTCCCCACACACCTCCTTCCCTGCACTTCTCTACAGTGTCAGCCATATTTAAGATGCACTTCACCTTGCCAGGTGGTCCCTTTGAGATGGCTTTCTCCTGGTCGCTGAGACCATCTCAAGGCAACTCCCTCCAACTCCTATTTGGAGATCATGTCTACTTTTTCTCCAGTAATTTTTCTTTATAAAATTTTTTTCTCTTAATATCCAGCTCTTTTCTCACCTTCTCAAACTTTTGTATTGGTTGAAATTGGTCCCCAGCGTGGGACAAGACCAGCTTTGTATCACACACTGTGCAGAAACCAATGGGCTTTTCCAACGGCCGTTGTTAGGACTTCTTCAGGCCTGGTATTAACAGTTTTCTTACAGATCCGCACGATGAGCCTGGAAGGGGGCAGAAAATGCACAGGATGAGCCTTGAGCATCTTGTGCTGCTGAAAAGACCCAAGCAAACAAAACTCCGAAATCACATAGATAGAGAATGACAAAAGATCTCAAGAGCCAAATAAAGGAACTCCCAAAGGCCAGAGCTGGGAGAGTTTAAGTAGCAAAATAAATAATGTGGCTTTATACTGGAACATGAAGTATAGATTAAAATTCATGAGCCCATTCTGATATAAATAAATGATTGAGTACCTAAGTAAGTGTGACAGTGTAGACACAATTTTCCTACAGAAGACTCAAATAATTTAGATAGATACTCCCGTCTTCAGGGAGCAGAGTACAATCCTCAGCATTGTGTGGGCTGTGTGGTGCGACTCGCTTTCAAAGAGTATGAAGTGGGAGAGAAATGAGTAACTTTACAGAGCACATCACTGGCAAATGCCACCTCTTTCTGGTGATCAAGGCCAGTGTCATCAGTGGGGTCATAGTTTTAGGATGTACTGCATTTGAAGTCAGAAAATGGCACTTTGCTTTGTGGTTCTCATCATAAAAATTCACACCTGTAATCTAACCATAAAGAAAACATGTAAAACTTGGAATGGCTTCCCGAAGCATGCTTAAAAAATGGGTACACTTAAAAAAGTCAAGGTCACCAAAATTAAGGGAATTGAAGGTTTATACAGACCAAGGAAAAATGGCAGATAAGTATAATGTGCTGTTTGGAATGAGATCCTGGGAGAATAATCGGTCATCAGGCAAAAAAAAAAAAAAAAAAAAAAAAAAACCACATGTAATCTGAATCAGTACGGTCTCTAATAGTGTATCCATCTTGATTTTTTAGTTGTGACCAAATTACCATAGTTGTGTAGACATTGACAGTAAAGAAACCAGGGGCAATGTGTGTGAACTTCCAGGTGTTCTATAAATCAAGAACAATTCTGCAATCAAATGAAATTAAGTTTATTAAAAAGTAGTGACAAGACTAAAAAGAATATCATACAATAGTTTGCCTAACAGTAGTTTAGATAAAACCCACATTCATAGAAAGCCCATTGTTGCACTCTTATACACACACACATACAGGTACACATGCACACACACACACACACACACACACACACACACACACACACAACTGATTAAAATATAGTGTGTAAGTCAGCTCTTCTTATTTGGCCATTTAGTTTTTGTCTGCCCGCTTGTGAGTTTTGGGTCTTTCTAATAGAGTTCTAGTTCTTTTTGTTAAACTAGCAATTTAAAAAGCCCGAACTGTACATAGTCAACTCACATTCTCTCCACTTCACAGCTGCTTCTCCTCACATCTTTCTTTTTTTTTTTTCATTTTATTTAAGAGGAAAAAGAGAAAAACACAAAACAAAACAAAGCGGTGTAAGGGTACACGTAATACAGAACTACCAAAAAAAAACATAACAGTAAGAAATCACCTGTTAATAGATTACATATTATCATCTTGAAAATAGTTGCTCAAATCACAGTATCAAAGAATACAAAGTGAACATTACAGTGGTGACACAGTTAAACAAACGAGTCAGAAACCTGATCTCATTCTCGACTCCTCTGAGTTATCTTTGGCATCAAACAATCACAAAGATTACAGAGTCCGGCTTGTAAATACCTTCTGTAACTACCTCGTCCTGTTTACTCTCCTGCTGGAATCATCTGTAGTCTCCCAACAGCCTTTAGTTGGCTTGCCTGTCTATAGTATGATGTTTGCAGAAGCATTGGGTAAACAAGTGAGGCTGTGAACCATGATGCTTTCTGTGTGCTTCTGCCTAAAACCTTTGCTTTCTTTGATCTTAGGAGAAGGCCTAAATTCTTTACTAATGAAGCTGTGTACTCTTTAACTCTTTCCTACAACTTTTCTTCTTATTTGTATTCAATTTATGCCAGAATTTCCAGCAGTACTGAATTTGGTTTCTCCAGCTGAGTGGCTTTCTGCCTCAGAGCCTTTACATGTGCTGTTACCTGCCTGAGTCTGATTCTCTGTACTGCTGGCAGAATACCTGCGTTTCTCTCATTATGATACTTATCATCCCCAATTACTTGGTTGTTTATTTTTCTTCTTTGCCAGCTTGGAGCTTTTTTTGAACAAGGGCCTCCATCTAGTGCACTGTTAAATTTTTGTTTTTACTATGCTTGAGATAGTACCTGTTAAATTAGTGAACACAAGAATATGTAATATGCATGACCAACAACTATGAACCTTAAATTTAAAGATTTCTTAGGGATCATAATATAGTAAGAAATCAGTGAGAGCACATGAATCAGAGTTTTGTATATAAACCATTCATAATGAACTGCACAAGTGAAAAATATGAATGCTAGGGATTCATAAAATATATCACAGTAAGCCATCATTTCATTGTTTAAAAGACTGCTGTTAATGGCAGTACCTGTGATTGGTAAGGATATGTAGCTGTCCAACAGTAGATATTACAGCTAGTCACGTACAAACTGGAGCTGCTATAAACTGCTGAAGTTCTAAGCTTGTATTTTCTTTCCACGGGGTACCTTGTCAGTATTCATTAAAGGCTTTATGTATTTTCCCATGCTGTTGACAATTCACCTCTGACTTCAGTTAACCCAGTCTAAATTTCTAATAAATAAAGCTGAATAAATAAAGTTTTGTTCACACTGTGCTTTGTAATCCTAAAATAAACTCTATGAAAGAACATTTACAAAAATAGGAGATGGGCATGATCTAGTGCATGAAATGGGAGCTTATAAAACATTACACATGAAACTGTTAAAAAATTCATACACCAAACATCCATGTTGTGGGGAGTTGTGCATATACATTCAATCATTTGCATATTCCTATATGAAGGGCAAATATGCACTTCCTATTTTATTTTATTATTTCATAACTAGAAAAAAGTCCTCTGAAATTTTTAATTAAAAAATAATGAGTAAAATCTCCCTTGTAAATCTAGCTCTCTTGAAATTCAGCTTTCTGGGGTTTATCCCTTGAAAGGGCTGCTGGGCTGGGTCACTGTGGTGTTGGCCACCATACCCTTACTTTTATTTCACTGGCAATGCTCAGCTTACGCTAAACAAGCATGTATGGAGGTCACGTGCGCTACTTTGTTTTACAGGAAACATATGAAGAAGAAGTGCTGTATGAATTAAGACTAAGTAGGAAAACTTTAATCCTTCGCCTTCTGAAATCAAGGTAGGTTCTATTCTGACTCCACACCTTATAGATTTAGCTTATAGTGTCCTATTTTTTGTAAAGTGAATTTCTAAAATCATTGGCATTTGTATAGTATGTGGATTCTTCCTCTTCAAGTGCAAACTCGCTATATCTAATAATATCTTAAAACTATACACATGGTTCTGCTTGTTGAGTTAATACCTATTTTGGGTACTTTGAGTTCTCTGTGTAGTCACTCTAAAATGAAGGCTGATCTGTTGCTGTTTTAAATTAACTGAAAAAAAGAAAAATTTTAAGCGTGGTTTTTAAACTGACTTGTAGTTCTAGCAAGTAAATATCAAACCGAGTTCTTTTTAGAGAACAAGATAAGAACTGGGAAGAACCTGCTTCGCGGTCACGTCTTAGGTAGCCAGGTCATGTGAATGCCTTCGGACCTTCATCTCCGCTCATTTCCGCTGTCTACTTATAGACACACATCATAGTACTGTCCGAGTCCCAAACATTAAAAGCATGTAAAGTTATCAAATGCAAATTAAAATGGAAGGGTGACATTTTCAGAGTTAAGATTCTGCTCTACTAACTCAAACGAAAAAGCAATAAAAATACAGAATTTACAATTCCATCCATTCTGAATTTTTCCTTTGGTAACTGGTAGGAATGCAAGCCTATCTACCATGATCAAATTGACAGTATTTTCATAGTCTGCACATTTTGGTTTTTTCTTCATGAAGGAAGATAATATTTATTAAGCAATTTCTGTGCATCTTTCCTTAAGACTCAGTTTCTACAATATACACATGAAATACCCATATTGAAAACAGTAATTTGTAAAGGTCAGAATGTCAGTGCTTCTGCATTTCCATGTAAAATTTGCACTACCTATTAATTCCAGAAAAAAAAACTTGCTGAAATTTTTTGATGGCTTTATTCAATTTGGAGCTCTTCACTTGACATCTTAATCTTGCAGCATTGAAGTTGTAACTATGTGTATGTCTTCTTTAATTCCTATCAAATGGGTCTTGTAGTTTACACCATAAAGCATTAAGATTTTCAACATATTTCTAAATATGTATTATTTGTGGTGCTCTTGGAAGTGGAATGTTTTTGTTTTTGTTTCTTTGGTACCGGGGATCGGACTCACAAGCACTTGCTTGCAAGGCAGGCGCTTATGCCATTAAGCTAAATCCTCAGGTGAAAGTAGAATGTTTTGTTACTTCATTTTTCTATTATTTGAAATTACTATGTAGAAATATATTGTTTTTTAATATTAACTTTGCTTTGGGAGTTGCTAATTTATTCCTTATTTTGTGGATTAATTATAAATTTTCTAGATCATTATTCATCTTGTCATTTGAAGATATCAACAGGTTTTTTGATAATAATTATTCCTCATTTCTGTGTTTTGTAGCAATGGCTAGGGTCTCCAGTGAACTTTCATTAGAAATATTGAGAGTTGGCAAACTTAACACTGTTCCTGGTCTTACCCAGGAAGGGTCGTAGGTGTTAAATAATTAAATGAGACTTTACCTATAGACTTGTCATTAATGTAGTTTATTAGATTGAGAAAGTTCTATGAGAAGTTGGTTGAAAAAAATTTTTGTACCTATTGAAATTTTCATAATATAATTTACATTGACTGATTTTGTGTCCTTGAGGTAAAACTTAATTTTCATTATGCATTATTTTAAAATATATTGTGCTAGCTGGGTATGGTAGCACACACCTGTGGTCTCAGCACTTGGGGAGACAGAAGAAGGATGATCACAAGTTTAGGCCTATCCTGGGCAAATTATCAATTTAAAAAATCTTGCTTCAAAATAAAAAATGAAAAATTTCTGGGTGGTAGATCAGTTTAAAGGTCCTAGTTCCAATTCTCGGTACCACGAACAAAAAGCTAAAACTTGTTCTTTTAATTGTTTCCATATTTTCTATTCTTGTAACATTCCTTTTATTAATTTATTTTCTTCATTACTTATTTTGTATTTACTTTTCCTATGGCGATCTTTACTATTTTCTATTACAAGTATTTAAAGTATTTAAAGCTATAGCATCTTCCTACCCAACATAATGCAAATGATATGTTGCATTTTTATTATCATTTATCTAAAAATATTTCCTCTTTTCCTTTGGAATTTCTTCTTTGACTCATGGATTGTTTTAGATTGCATGATATAATTTCCAATACATGGAATTTTCTTACAAATATTTCTGCTAATTTTTGTGCATTTTATATTTTGTTACTTGAGATCAAAATACCAAGTTCAACTTTCATTTACTTTTTTCAAGATATCTGCATGACTATATTTGGAATATGTCTCTGATAAGATGGCAGTTGGTTGCGTTTTGATGTTTAATAAATTCTAATAATCTTGGATTTGGAATTCAGATGCTTAATCCACTAACATTACACTTGATATGGCTAGACTGGATATTTCATTTTTGTTTTTCTCCTCTTTTATTTACTCCTCTATTCTTCCTTTACTGACTTCCTTTAGATCTTTGGGTTATTTGAAGTTTTTATGTAGTTTTTCCACCTCCTGGCTAGACATCAAAAGAGAGAGCAGTGGAAGTATAAAACACACATAGAAAACAGCAGGTCAAAATATGCTCAACAGAATTTGGAAGCCTGTTTGAGCAGAACTTTAAAATACTTCTAAGGCCCAGGATATAGCTCAGGGGCACAGCACCTGCTTGGTAAGCATGATGTCATCAGTTCAATTCCTTGTACCAAACAAAAAAAAAAATTCTTGAAATTTATTATGTTGAGGTGAGGTCACACAGTGACCAGGGGTGTCCAGAGAGATCTTACAAAAGAATTACTCAGTGATGCTTCTTATTGGCTTCTTATTGCCTTCCCAGGCAGACTTTATTCAGAATCATCATGATAGAACCAAGGGCTACTGGTTCAGGGTAGGGTCTGTCAGTAAGGAGTAGAAACTGGATAGTGGATGAGGAAGTGGACACAGAGTGGGGTTAGGGTGAGGTTAGTGGACAGACTCCTGAGAGGAAACAGCAGGTTGAGTCTTGCTAAGCCAACCTGGCTGGGCTCTTGCTGAGAGCAGGCTGATTCGTTGTCACCAGGAGGATGATGGTGTATGAGAAACCTGATAATTCACCGGGGTTGGGGAGTTCTGGCTAAACTGACTTAGTGTGATTCTTTACAAACACTCAGAAGGGCCTAGAAGAAAGTTAGGTACCTGATTAAAGTTTGGTCAAGCAAAGAATTGGTGTTAAGGTCAGGAGAAATATGGACGAATTTAAAGACTCTGAATGAAATATCTTGTTATTTATTTACTATGAGAAATCATGAACTCTGTGGATTGGAGCGATCATTTTCTCAGAATTCATTAAAAAGTCATTGGTGTACTTATCCCAACACTATCTACACAGTCTCTATAATGCTTACTTCACTCTTAAATCAGGAAACAGTACATACATACATGTATACACATATATTTCTATGTTCACTTATTTTATTTTCGATTGACCAAAAGTACTCATTTATGGACTACATCATAATGTTTTGAAATATGTATTGATTGTGAGATGGAAAACTCATGATTTCTGTCTCACACACTTATCATTCTTTTGTAGATAGCACACTTAAAATCTACTTGGTTAGCAATTCTCATTAACAACATATTTTCTTAGCTGTTGTCATCAGACTGCAAGCATTGAACTTAAGCCACTTATAGAACTGAAACAATTCTTTTACTTCCACACAATTCCTATGATTTTTGTTTTCAAGTAACTATAATGACTATGTAAGCCTTTTTCAATATATATTCTATATTTCAATACTTTAAAAAATGTTCCTAGCAAGAGCGAGATCCCGAGTTCCATTCCTGGTACCCAACATAAAGCTCAATTGGAGGGAAACAATAGTGTCTGATTGCTATCTTGGTTATTGTGGGGGCAGAATTGACCTTAACAATGGCATTGAAATTTGCATAAGTGTGATTAGGTGCTATTCATGTATTTTGAGATTTAGAGTAAAAATAAGCATAAGTCGTGATTGTCTACTGGCCCAGTATATTGCTGTTGTATCTAATAACACTAAAGAGTAGAACTTCAGCTGGTGTAACATAGTATGCAATTTCTTAAAATTTAAGTATTATGATTTATTTTTTAAAAATAAAATTTAAAAAAATTCCCGAGAATGTAATTTGCTCTACCTTTCGCTACTCTTTGCACTACATGCAGCTAAAACTTTTGGAAAGAATGAAGCAAATATAAGACTAAAAGATGGAGAAAGAAGGTAGAGCTGTTAGAGATTTGGGTATTTGAGAAATCACAGCAAGAATAAAAACAGACCACTGTTTCTTGCAATTCACTACCAATGTGGCACTGAACAGGAGGTTGACAGTGTGGGGGAAATGTCCCCACCATCAGAGAGGAAGTCAATCCCAACGATGGCTAGCCTGACTTCTCTTTCATTTTTTCAGGTAATTTATTTATAGAAAACTGTCATCATAAATAAATGCTGGAAACTTACAAAGCTCAGCTCTTTTATTTCAAAAGCCTTAACTTGCAGGATTAGTGTCTCTGCCTTAAGTTTCAAAATTCTGTTTTCCAGAGTAAATTGAAAGCCAATGACTTTATTTCCTATTCTTCAATTCAGCTTTGGCAAGAATCTCCTGAATTTGGATGCATAGCAGTAGATACTTTTAATGATGCAAATGGCTGAACAGAAGCAGGATAATTCTACTGATTATTCAGAAACTCATACCTTTATGCAAAAAAGGACCATACAATATCACATGCAAATATTAGCAGTAATAGACATGGCAGTGGTAAAAATCAGGATGATTACTCTATACTTTTCTGTTTTCTAAATTTATTATAATGATATATACTGCCTTTATTTAAATATGTAGATATTTGTTTACTATAAGATTGTATATATTTCATATATAGCATATGTTTTTGCATTAATTTTGGCTCCCAGATTTTGACATTTACTCTGAACTGTTCATAAAGTACCACTTTGCTAAAATTGTCAAAATCTTTTCATGACTTTTCTATCAGCTTTATATCATTAAATTTAGAGATGGAGGGAGGGAAGAGGGAAAGAAGGGAAAGAAAAAAGTTTTTTAAAAAAAAGTTGATGAAAATAGTGTTTTTGCAAATGGTGAGGGGAACAAGAGCTGGTGAGACCAGGGAAGGAGGGGTGGAAACATGGACAAAAATAGATTAAAATGTGTTGTGTACAGGTACAGACTACCCACAATAAATGTAATTATTGTGTACTACAAACATGTACTAATAAAAAATTTTAAATATTTTCTATTTTTAGCAGGAGATATCTTGTGGAGATTCAAGGCAATGTGGTCTTTTTACCACATGCTTGATTTTATCTTGTAGATTTGTAGACCGAGTAAATGTCACCACTTCTCTGCCTCCTTTTTCAGAGAGTTCCTAGGTTCAAATTACAGTGAAACATTCTACACCACACAAGGAGAAATGTTCATCAGGAATCCTCCCATTAAGGTATTTAGCAGAACCTTCCTGCACAGCTTCTTCGAAACTATTATTTCCTGATGGGACTTTGAATCTCTATTCTAGCCTTACAAATTGCTCCAAAAAGTGCTATAACACAAGTGAATCTAGAATCGCTTACTCTTTTTTTTTTTTTTTTTTTTTTTTTTTTGTCTTTTTTGTTTTTACCGGTACCGGGGATCGAACTCACGACTGCCTGCTTACAAGGCAGGCGCTTATGCCACTGAGCTAAATCTCCAGCCCCTAGAATTGCTTACTCTTAATGAATGCTGTTAGAGTAGGAAATACCATTGTTTGAATATTACAGGGAGTGACCACAATAAACTGAAGACTGCAATGTGTCTTCTTTTATTACTCTTATTCCTGCTACACTCCATAGTGTTAATTAGAATAAGGCTCGAGCAGGACTCCAGTGAATCATGTATAAGGCATCCTCATGGGTTCGTGAGGTTTAGGGATAAAACTCTAAACGTAGGAAACCACTGTTTAATCTCCATCCAATTGATCCGTACATGGCTTTGCAATCCTTTGACCAGTGCTTCTGATGCACCAGATTAAGGGTTCTTCATTTTCCAAACAAGCTTTTTGTGCCTATCATTATCATTATTATTATTACCCCTCACTCTCCTTTCCAGACATACCCTCTGAAGCCTTTTAATCAAAAGCAGTGTTACTCCTGCATACAAAGCACCAAGTAAAAATAGTAAGGATCCAACTCGACTGAAGTAAAGTCAGGAATGAAAGGCATGAGGAGCACAGGCTGCAGAGGAATAGCTAATTTTAGGAATCATCAAAAACTTGCCTTAAGTTTATAGGCAACTGGGGAAATCATAATGTTAGTTCAAGACGATAATTTGGCAAAGATCTTGGGATGGATTTAAAAAGTAACATAAGCCAAGGGGTCACATATCTGAAACTAGCGTCAGCACCCTTAAATCTGTGAAGAAAGAATCCATATGTGGTTTTACACAAAGTAATCAATAATTAAAGTGAAAGATTTCTGAAACAGGCTCAAGTATCCAAAAATAAAGCTATGATTGCATGCATAGAAGAGTGCTTAACTTAGCAGAATGAATAGTGGCATATTCTAAGAAAAAATAATGAACTAGTAATATCTACCTAATAAGCACTTACTCCTACATTAAGAGCCTCTTCTGGTATTTTAGGATCACTGTTTTTATCAAGGATCCATTATGCATGAACTTGATTCTTCTGTTAGCATCAGCACATGTAATGGTCTGAGGTAAGCAGAGTGTTTCCCCATTTCCTTATTGTGGTATGAATTTGAAAAACATTTAGATGATTTGTTTCTTTTACTCAGCTTGTAAATAGAAAAAATAATGAAGAAAGGGTGGCTATTTATTTTTAGCATTAAGTATGAATTCTAGCTTATGATTCATGCTTATGTTTCACAAAAATGCCTAATATACAGCCCTTGGAAAGATGCATTTTGCAATATATAATCAAGAGTCTCAGAGCTGGAGGGGTGCTGGCCATCATCTAACCTGTGCTCCAAAGGTAGAAGTCAAAATACTGAAACCTGAGACTTATTCCTGAGTATTCAACCTTCTAGTGCTAGAGCTGAATCCAAAATCTAGGTTTCTTGACAGACAGTTCTGTGAATTTCCTCTACACCAGAATGTTTTAGTAATTTAGCTTTTCATAAATTAGTTTGAATTTTTGGTCTTCAGATGGTAAAAAGTTGCATTGCAGTTATTAGTTCTCTGTAGATCTAGAATCCAAGGATGAAGGAAGAGCATTTCAAAGACAGATGGTAAGATGAGGAAGCTCTGTCTCATGAGGCCTTCCCTTGAGTAGTTCATGCCATTTTCAGAAGTAGAATCCCTTTACATTGAAAAGAAATGGCTTGTGCTTATATTGTTTGATCAATTTTTCATGCTTATATCTTTTGATGTGAGCAACTAATTTAGTAATTACAATATGCAATATATTAACCACTGCTAGTCTCCTCTTACCTTGTTTTTGTAATTCTATATCATTGACTTTATTGCTTTTCTTTGAAATAAAAGTCTTTAAAAAGAAATGGGAACCCCATTCATGACAAAATTACCCATAGTAATACTTTTACTTTTATAAATTTACAACTAATACATTAATGACAATTACACAGAGTGCAAATACTCTGAGGCAAACACAGGTGGGGATTGCTATTGTACTTCAGCTCAGAGCCAAAATCAGACTGTCAGAATTGCTCTGAAAAATTTATATAATCTGACTCTTAGAAAAAGCTACTAATTCAATTAAAGATCACGTATCATCTCCTTTATCACTCAAAACACCTAACCACCAGCTTATGTGGTCTTGATCTTGTAGTTTCCCTTTCTCGAAAAGGTAAAGTTTTAAAAACTGAAAAAGTTGTTATATATCTTGAATATACATTGTGTTCTTATTTCCCCAGGGGATTCTTCAGAGTAAATGATCAAAGGTATCTTATTGAACCAGTGAAATTCTCACCGGGAGAGCATCTGGTATTCAAATATAACCCAAGGGTGCAGTACAGTGTCAATTATTCTTGCGCAGAACTCAACTTAACCATGAAGCCTGTTCCAGATGATACTCAATATAAAGAAAACCACAAAGTGGAAGTGAGTACTCTATTTTTAAGGCCCCTTCACTTCAGGTAAAATAGCTCTCATTTGTTTTATGATCTTAAGAGACACAGTCAGCTCAGTTAGTGAAATGTACGTGTTACTCTGAATCTGACATTGCATCGTTTGAAACTTTAAGCTGAAACTTTTGTTTGATACCTGTGTAGAAAGTGCTCTCTGACTCTAGCACCTCAAAGTGGTCCATCAATGTAAGGGAAGCTTCCAACACACCTGCATGTAGATGAGCAGCATCAGGACTGTGTGATTTGAAGGATGGAATTTGCAGTATCTTGAAGTCTATCCTAGACATCTTTTCTTGTGCTTTTGTGAGAGCTGTTGAGTTGTTCTAATAGTTGAAGACAGCTAAGAAAAATAACAAGCTCCATTTTTGGTGAATAGTGTTCATAGTCCTGTATATGTTTGGTCTTCCTGGACATGTAGTTCTTGTTCCCTTAAATTTCAGCCAAGTTAGCTTGTAAACTACATGTTTGCATATCTTGTTATCCTGTTCATAGTCTAGATAGTATCTGGCACATAATTAATATCTAACAAGTGTTTCTTGATTGAATAATTCACTAAGTAAACAGTAAGTTAGTCTGCAAAAGAATGTGTCGGTTGTGGAAAATCTTCTCCCTGGTTTGTCCTCAGGGAATACACACGCACCTCCTATGTGTTTACTGAATGCTGAAAACTTAGAATAATATCCGGTTATGTCTTTTTTCTAAAAATAAATGACCTATAATTAGCAATATTTACTTGGTGTTTTTTGGAATTGAGACTATGAGGTTGAGAGGCAGAAGCAGTAGTTATAATTAGTACTATCCATCAGTTCAACTTTAATTTTCAGCTATGGATGTGTGCTTTTTACCTGAGCTTGGTCATAAAACATTTACTTTGTTAAATGCATAAAATGCCCAATATATTGAAACAGAATTCATTATTATTTGTACATTTTATTTGACCCTAAAGTCCACACAAAAAAGAAAATGTAGTCAAAAATTTAATGTTTCTTTGAGATTAATATGGGATATCTGGGCCACATGTTTAATGCATTGTCTTTTTTATAAAGATTCTAGAATCTTTAGATAGGCATTCACCTGCCTATACTAAGAACACTAACATTTCTTACCCTGAAATTGCTAGATTGTTTTCAATGTAAATGTTAAAGAGAAAAATATTAACATATTGCATTAAATTTTTCATAAATTCCCAGGGAAATTATAAGGAAAAATATATTGAACTGTTCATTGTTGCTGATGAGTATGTGGTAAGTTTTCAGAAAAACATTTTGATTTATTTTCATATTTATAAAACCCTACGTGACTCTAAAATAGACCCAAAAAAGTATCCTAATCAGAGTTTTCTGCTGGACTCACAGTCATGCTTTTATCCACCACCACCACCCTCTAACTAGAAGAATATAAGAGACTGTTGGGTCTTTGAACAGTGAAGCAGAATAGCCTGAACTGGAGCCGTCTACTCCATTACAAACTGCTGGAAATGTTGCACATTATATGAGAAATGGAAAATATGTCAGCAGTTCATAGTTGATCTCAAAAAATACCTGAAAATCTTCAAATGCTAAAAATTCAAAGGAAAGTCTCTATCAGTACAGGAAGTCAAATTCAAAAGGTTTGGTGACAAGTGATGTATAGAATGCACATATAGAGTTCTGAGGAATTAGTTATTGCACAGAGTGAAAAACTGACATTTGCCAGTTCTCTGTGTATTTCCAGAGCTATAAAGTACTGCCTTATGCCTGAAAGGGAAACCATAAAAAATCCACGGAAACTGCAATAGATAAAGGATGTGTCTACCTGCCTATAGGCACAGACAGGGAAAATGTCACATACAGGGGAGGGGGGAAGCCCTGTGACTGTGCCCTGCACTGATGCAGGGCATGACGGTGTGCATTTTTTCAGGTGCAGAGATGTCAAGGAGAGCTTTCAACATAAAAACTGCTTAATGATCTGTAAACAACTAGACCCTCAATCAAAAATGCTTCATAACGACCACAAAATAAACCAAAGTAGAGTGAATCACACAAGGAAGCATAAAGCAATGTAATGAGAAGGAAAAATATCTTACTAGGAGCTATAAGACATCTAGTGTTATCAAAATTATTCTATACAATTGAGGTATAGGCTTAAAGCTATTGAAGTTATAAAAATAAATAGCATTTTAAAATAAATGAGACTACAAAAAATAACGAACATACTTGAAAAATTTTAACTTCTGCCAAAGGAAACAGTATACATCTTTGAACTGAAAAGGAAGTTAGACACATGAGAAGGGGGGATCAGTGACTTGGAGGATAGAGGAGATGGAAATCTGTCACCTAAAGGGCACAGAGCAGTAAAAAGTTAGAAACTATGAAAGAGAAAACAGGAACTGCTGAATAAAAGAGTGAAGATGAGTCACTGGATGACAGGTAGTATTTTAGTGACCATTCTTGAGAGTTTTAAAAAAATAAAATGATGATTGATAAACTAGTTAACCACATGGAAGGATTTCAGAATAATAAAGACAAAGGGAAAAAAATTCAACCAAATTCAACTGGAACAAAGAAAAATGTTACCTACACATGAATTATACACAAAACTAGTAAGAGATATTGTAAGTTCCTAGACTGTACATTTAAAAAATAAAAAATTAATTCTAAAATCTGGAACTATCAGGCAAGAATAACAGATGGGTTGAAAGAAAGAAATCATACCTAAAATATGTGTGTAAATTGAAAGGGAAAAGTTGAACACAAATGTGTACAGCCTGAATACCAATCACTTAAAATAGGTTTAACAATAAGAGTACACAGCTCACACTCCATCCTCCCCAAGTCCTTCTGGTTGGAAATAGCTGGCTGATAAATGATCTTACTCCTGTGATCCCTGAGATATGTTTAGCATCTTTCCCTGGGATGCACATTATACAATCCCTACCAGGTAGACAGCAGGAATCCTGGTATGTGACGTATTTTCCTGGTGGGAAAACAGGACCCCACAATAGATCACCAAGAGTGTGTGAGGTCAGAGGAACAAAACTAGTAAACAGTTTCTTAAAGAGAAAATAATCAGTATTAAATGTGGAGAAGATGACCAGAAAGGTGACTGAAAAGGATAAGTGCATTTAAGAGGACATTTGTGAGCTGTCGAGAGTGGTTTCAAGAGAATAGTTATAGTTGAAATCAAACTATGATGATCAGATTGGGAGATGGAAACTACAAAACTTCTAAGGCCATATTTGGAGTCATGTAGATATTTAAAATAATAAGAGAGCAATGGAGTTGTAACTAGAGGATTCCTACAGGACTCAGGAAAACACGCTTATGTTTTATTTATATCATAGAAGCTTGACTATATGAATATACCCTAAGAGCATTTTTTTGTTATTATATGTATTTAGTTTCTCATTAGCAGCAAGATCCTAGTAGTACCAAAAGTGAATTTTTATGAAAGAAAAGAACTAAAGTCAAAATGGAGCAGAAAAGCAGCTGTGTCTTTTGAGCTTTTGCCCTGGAGAATAGGGAAATCCAGTTTTCTATCCCTCTGGCTCCAAGGCATTTTGGATTTTGTGTTCCATCATTTGTGACACTGAAGATTCAGGAAGAGAGGTGAAGTCTGTCTGTTTTCAACATCATGATTATTACAGAACTTTAATAGGTGCTGAGTTACGGTAACAGTGGCCTCTAAAGAATACCAACTTTACTACTGCAATGAAGTATGAAGAAATATAAAAGAGGAAAAAGTTGGAAAGAAAACCCTAATGCAGTGCTGAGCTAAAATATGTCGTCATAGACAGCTGCAGCTAGGTATTCAGTATTAAAACATTCCCCTCAGCAGGGCGTGGTGGTGCATGTGTACAATCCCAGCTCCTTAGGAGGCAAGAGCAGGAGGATCGCAAGTTTGAGGCTGGCCTGGGAAACTTAGTGAGGTCCTGTCTAAGGGTCCGGGGTGTTGCTTAGAGTAGGAGGCATGTTCCCCAGTACTGAGAATAAAAATCCCTCCGTGTGTTGCCAGGGTCTTAGACAGTTCTTTGTTTTGCTTTCTTCAGTTTTCCAGTGCATTTTTTCCTTGCAGTGTCTCATATGGTGGACGTATTTTGTTGAACTTTTACTCAGTTCATATCATTAATGCTTTTTTTTAATTTCTAGTATCGCAGGAATAATAATCCTCAGTCTAATCTAAGGAGAAGAATTTGGGGAATGGTCAATTTTATCAATATGGTAAGGATTGATGTAATTTGAATGAAATGAAAATACAAATGCAAAAAAAATGTTTATGTTAGCTCTCTGCTGCCCTTAGAAGTAACCTTGATACTGAGTGGTTCAAATTCCAGAGCTTCTCCAAGCAAACTAATAAAGAAAATGCTAGTGAAAAATCCTAGCAACAAGCCACAGGTTTGAGGTTTTCATGTTCTATGTAAATTCCACTTACTCTTTAAGTAAGTTTCAGGTGTTTCTCTCTAGTTACAAAATTTATGAAGCAACGTGCAAAGAGTTTGAAATCCAATTACATTCAGGCTAAATCTCTGTTCTAAATCAGTGGTCTGTGGCCTTGTGTAAAGTCCTTCAAGTTATAACTTATTACCCATGATTTGGTTTTAAAATGAGGGCAACAATTTCAGTAAAATCTCTTAAAATTGTTAATACACTTACATTTTAACGAAGTATAATCATTTAAAACAAATTTCAAATTGCATAGATCTTTCTTTGCTGATTGCTAAGACATCATGGATACCTCTGCCCTACTTATTACCTGAATGAAGAGGTCCATAGGGAGATGCTAGAAAGAATGGTCCTCTAGGTAGAGGTTTTCATTCAACACTTGAGGGGTGTTTAACCTATTTGTAGTTGTTGCTACTCTGAATGCAACTACTTTAAATACAGCCTTACATGTGAACAAGTTTTCATTTATTTTCTATAAATAACAAATGCTGGAGTCATATGGAATATATATACTATTCGGGGGGTATTTTTGAGAAATATTCATATATTTTATTTTAAAATTTTCATTCTGTTAAAAATATTTTAAATGTCCCTATGACCTTTTCTTTAATTGGTAGTTATAGACAGTGTTGTTTAATTTTCAAATAAAGATTCTTTATATTTTTATTATTGATTTCTAATTTTTATTCCATTAGAATTAAAGAATTTATTTTGCTTGATTTTCTTTTGATTTTTTTCAAGGTTTAGTTTACAGTCCAAAATTTGGTTTATGTGCACTTGATAAAACAAATGAGCAAATAAAAGAGTATTTTAATACAGGTGAATAGAGTTTTCTGTAAATGTCAGTTATGTCAAGTTAACTAATAGCATTTTCTTGATCTTTTTCCTTTTATTAATTAATTTTATGACTACTTATTACTGAAGTGAAAATATTCAATTCCAACTCTGATAGTGGGAAAGTCTCTTTGCTCTCTGTTACCAGATTTTGTTCCATGTCTATGAAGTTTTGCTATTAGATGCAGAGGAATTCCATCTACATGTCTTCTTTCTGGCTGGATCCCTTTACGGTCCTGCAATGCCCTTTGTGACTGCTGTAATTGTTCTTTGCTACTAAGCCTACTTCGACACTAATAGAGCCATTTCAGCTTTCATTTGATTTGTGTTTACATAATAGGATGTTTTACTATTTTTATTTTTAACTTACCTTTGTTTTTATGTTTAAAGTCGTGTTCTTAAAGATGGCAGATTTTCTTTTTTAAATCTGATCATTCCTGTATTTTAATTGATATACTTACATGATTTACATTTGCTGTAGTTATTGGTACATTTTTTGTTGCCTATTTCCTTGTCCTGTCAGCTTTTGAAAAGTATATTTTGCAGTACCTGCAGTTTACAGTTATCTTAGGGAGAGGGCACATGTGCAAAATGCAGCTTGATTCTTTTAATTCCTTCCTTCTAGTTTTACTCCTTCCTTTAAGTTTCCCTCCTCCAAGTTTTCTTCTGCCATTGTTTATTCTAATTAATAGTATTAATCTTATCTCATAGTGAATTGAAAATTTTTTGATCATTCTGTTCTTATTCCTGCTATTAGGTCTTTTAAAATATTTTGTATTTAATTATGGGTTTACAATATACATTTAATAAAAGTCTAACTTTAAATAGTGTTGCATTACAGAAGTGTATCATACTTATAGCATACTTTAAATTATCCAAGTTTTCTTTCATGATAATATTTTCATGCATTATTTAAAATTTTTTCTGTTTTGAGGAATTTTATATATTTTCTAAATTCGAAGATAGAATAAATTGCTCCCATATGACTCAACCCCAGTTTTTCCTATTTTTATCATCTTAGATTTACTGGATACATTTGTAACAATAAAATGCCATCAATACATTTCTATTGAGAAAATTTAAGTAATTAAAATTTTCTTGGTTTTAAACTAACACTCTTTTTCTACCCCAGGATGCTGCCCCGTATACCACGGTGCATCTAACCTCCAAGTCCTCTACGTCCTCCAGACTTCTCTTGACTGTGATAGGTTTTGGCCTTTCTTTTAACTTAATGGCCTTGAGAGCTTTTAAAAGTACATGTCAGGCATGGTCTAGAATACGCTATACTGCAATCTCTGGGATACTTTCTTGTGATGAAAAGATTATGGTTTTCTGGAGGAAAACCACAAAGACAATGGCCCGTTTTCATCATGGTCAATATCATTTATCACTAATGGTTTTAACCTGGGTCTACTGGCTTAAGTGATAGCCCCTGGTAGAATCACTCATTTTTCACTCCTTAACCTTCTCTATTCTTTGGGAGAATGTTAGTGTATACAGCTTACCCTTTAAGGGTGAGGAGTCAGGCTTCTGCTCTTTGAAGTGGAGTATATACATAACATGTATTACTTTGAATTCTTCTGCACAGGAGATGTATCTCTTGCCCCTCATTATTGTATTTATTTGATTATTTATATTGGTATAGAGTTGTGAATATTTGTTTAATACTTTAAGTTACTACTCTATTTTGTTAATCAAATTCCTCCAGATTTGACCATTGAATAATATTTTGGTTAGTCTGTGTTTCCATTTGGTGTACCTTTATCAAAGTGTGTGTGCATGGTTTTCACATTACTTAGATTCTCTGAGTTTCTTGGATCTGTGATTTAATGTTTTCTACTACTTTAACATGTTTTTAAAGTGCTTTTGTTTACCTTATTATTCTCTTTTCTGGATATATATAATGCATTATGTATATGCAAGATATTTATATTGCACATATATACATATGTATATATACATATGATATTGTACATGTATACATATGTATATACATACGACATTTACATGTATATGTATGTATATATACATATGTGCATATTTACATACATATGTATATATGTATGTAAGTGTGTATTTAGAAAGCTCTGCTTTTTCCACAGAATCAGACCTCCTCTTGTGTTTGTTTCACTCTTTTAACTCTATGTTACAATTTGCATAATTTCTATTGAGCTAATAGAATCCTTTTCCTATTTGATATGAGCCTTCTAAAACACTCACCAAAAGCATTCTTAATCTCTGCTAATGTACGTGTTTCTAACATTTCATTCAGTTCTGCTTACAGTTTTGACCTCAAAACTAGAATTCAACTCTTCTCAAGGACATTTTTCACTCTATTGTTTGTTTGTTTCTGAATAACAAATTACCACAAACCTAGCATTAGGAAGCTGTGTTCACCTCTCATCTCTGCAGAACCAGTCCGAGTACAGCACCACTGGTTGCTCTGTTCAGGACCTCCTAATGCCAAAGGATGGGGTCTCTGTTTATTTATGTGTTGATCGAAGTCAGCCTGTGCACCTGGAGGGCTCAGGAACTGGGGCCATCTAGGTTTCCAGAGGCCCTGATAATCCCTTCACTCAACCCCCCCCCCCCCCCCACACACACACACACCATGGATCCTTTCACATCCTGGCAGTTTTTCTAGTCTAGCAGAAGAATCTGTGCTACTTCCAGTTGCCATCTTTCTTATGAAGGTTTAGGTTGGGTTTATCCACAGCAAATTACCTTTTGTTTAACTTTACTGATTACTACCTTTACCACATAGCATAATCTAATTACAATAGCAAAATATACACAGTCCTGCCCTTACTGAAGAGGTGGTAACTGTACAGGATTTTTGTATCAAAAGACCAGAATCGATCTTAAAATTCTACAAACCATGTTCTTCTTTTCCACAAGAGCCTTTAATACTAATAATCAATTTAAATATCCTGTCAGCCAATTTCAACACGTGAATTATTCATGAGTCTAGTTTCACCAACTTTTTTCTCTTGAACAATAGGTTGTTTTTCCATGATATTTTGTATGTTCCGTGTTTTATTAGATAGTAGACATTATGTGTGGAATGGTAGAAACCATGAAACAGTCTTTATGCCTAAATGTGATATGCTTCTTCTTTTGCTAGGTCATTAGCCAGATCATCAATTTTGTCAGAAACTGAGCTGGGTTAGGGCTTTGTTGTTGCTGTGGTTATATACAGAGCATCATCGCTTTGAAATGCACCGGTCTTTCTTATGCTTCAAGTGGGTCCTGGTTCAGAACCATGTTCTCGTTCCAGTTTGTGCCTTCACTCAAAGCCTGTATCTCAGAGAAGATTTTCCTTACACTCGCATCCCTTCTTAAGTGCTCCTCTTCTGCTGCTGGCTGCTTATTGCCTGCTAGCCTGGTCATAGGTCACAGGGAAGCCTCTGTGGTCCTTTCTGTTTGCAGGCATGGGAAATACTTGCACAAGTAGTTCTCAGGATTCACTCTCCTTCCTCACTGTTGGGAGACCTCCACTCATTAGGGCCAACATTCATGTTATTTCACTAGGATATCTCTCATTTTTAATTTCATTATGTCTTCTTTTATCTTAGAAGTCAAAGTTCTTTCTCTAGGGCTTAGATCATTTCTATATAAACATCCAAATAAATATGTCAAACTAATCCAAAAGTTGAACAGATGAAGCATGGCTTTTATTTCAGATGTTATCTTTTTCCCTGAAGCAGAATATATCCTAGGATGACAAACATTCTTTCTATTTTCACTTCCAATCCATTTTGTGAATGTCAAAATCATCTATGAAGAGAAAGGCTTGACATAGTTCATGTTAAAAAAAATTCTTGCTCTGTAGGGCCTGACTTATGTTTATCCAACAATAAGATCAAGGCCAAGAGGAACAGTGATGGTAATGACTGGTGCCACTGGTAGATTTTGAAATCATTGCTTGATTAAATGTCGACATGCAAAACGGTTTAAAAGAATCTATTTCTCACGGTCATGAAGTGATCTTTTAGAGGAATTGTAAAGACACATGAAATTCAGTATATTCACACTCTGCAGGTTAAGTAGAAAGTTACAGAAGGCTATTGTAACAGGAATTATACCTCTAAGAAATTTCTTGAAAGGGAGTTTTATTCTTTAGTAATGCATGAGTGACTTTTCCAAGTCTGTTCTTAAATTCAGTGTTTGTTCTTTAGTCGTTCACCCTTCTTTAACTGGTGCTTTAAACTAGCTGTTGTGAAATATAAAAAGGATATAATGCATATTCCTTTGTCTCAAAATATCCACGATCATTGCTAAACTTTGTCTTCTCTTATTCTAGCACAAAAGAATCTACTAGCTAAGTATTTATAAAGCAGTTTAGAAAAGAAGTGAAAGGATTCATAAGCTGCCACCATTTCTTCATGGTTTGAGTAATCCCCAGTAAAGGTGCTGAAACAGAAAAGGTAGTTACAAAATTCAGTCATGATGTTCAATTTAAATACTGATAACAGGTTTCTAACTTTCTATAGAACTGATTCCTGGCCTAAATTAGAGAGAAAATCAAGGTGTATTCATTCCACCATCTGCCACCTTTACTAAATTCATTTTGAGCTAATTCATAACCCCAGCACTTTAATAAATGCTTTCTTCTGAACATATTCTGAGATCAGTGCTCAAAAGGCATATGATAGTTTGAGGAGAAATAAGTTTTTTGGTCAATTTCTTTGTCGATCATAGAAAAACATGCAGTATTCTGTACAATACACCCTGAATTCCATTGCAAGACATGTGTTTGTAAAATAACACCCACACTCTTTGCTCACATATGTCACATGTTAAAATTACTATGCTTTTAAGAAATACAAAAGAATATGATGATGGTAAAGGTTCCATCTAGCAGCCTGAGTTGTGCAAATTATTTCTTCTTTGGACAGATTTATAGTACCTTGAACATTCGTGTAACATTGGTTGGAATTGAAGTATGGACAAACGGAGACAAAATAGCACAAGTTTCAAACACAGAGACTACCTTACTGCATTTTTCAAATTGGCAAGAGACAGTCCTTAAAAAAAGGAAGAATTATGATCATGCTGTGTTACTGAGGTATGTGATTATTATCTTGCACATCTAAAGAGGGCTATTAAAATAGATAACAGAACAAATGAACAACAAAAATCATTTTTTAAAAATTTTATTTAAAGAAAAAAAGCAAAACCGAAAATAGTAGAAATAATACAGAATTTCAAAAAAATAATCTACAGTAAAAAAATCACTGGTTGACAAATTATATATTATCCTCTTAGAAATAGTTGTTCAAGTTACAAAATTAAAGCATACAAAGAGGACATTCAAACGGTGAGTCTACAAATAAACTATCAAAACATGCAGGCATTTCCAGGAAGTATCTGGCCCTCTAGACCTTTTCTCTCATCAAAGCATATGCAACCAGTCACCACCTCCCACAACAATCTTCTTTACTATACAATAAAGAAGACAACTAATTTGATAAGTTAAACCTACCACAACTTTTAGATTCCTGAAGAAAAGTTTGGATTTATTTATTCAATCATTAATTTCTTTAAATTGGGTCCAATTACACCACTTTTGTTGCTCAAAATATCTTGCATAATTCTTAGTCAAGAAAGAAGTGATAAGCAGCTGCAGGAATAAACTGAACACAACCTTATGTTTGGCATAGTCCTCTTACTCTAGGTAATGTTCAATTTCACGAAAACTACTCTCTCTTTTAAAAATTTTGTAGAAAAAATAATAGGAGAATAACAATAGCTAACACATTGCATATTGTTATCTTCAAAGTAGTTAATTAGAGTAAAAGATATAGGCATAAAAATCTGTGAACAATATTAGCACAAACCTTTCTTTTCAATGAACTAAGAGAAACTATTAAGACCATTATCTTGTATTATTTTTAGCATCTCTTTTGATGAACCTAAAGTTACTAAGCAGTGTACACTTTATCAGGTTACTTACTTTATCTACTTAAAACATTAGCATTTTTCCAATGAGCTGCAAATGCATCTTATTAATCTTCTTTCTGCTGTTGGCTGGATACTAGCTTACAGGCTGACCTCAGTAACAGCAAACTTCCAAAGCCTGTTATCAGAGGTCAATTCTAGTTCATTGGTATTTAATGAGTGTGAACTAGATCTCCAGAGCAGCATCAGGCTTGGTTTTCATACTTGGATGGATCATAGTATATATCTGCAATGATGTCATGTCAGACTTGGGCTTGGGTTTTTAAGCACTGGCATGCCCTAAAATTATGGAAGATGAGGGTTAGTAGAAGTATCCCTGTAAACCTCAGAGTGAGTGTGAGTAACTCTTTCCCTCTGTGCAAATATTTAAAACTATTTAGTATGCTGAAAATTATTGAAATAGATATAGTGGGCAATCATTTACCTATATAACATTCTTTTACCCTGGTCAGTAGCTTCCCATATCAACAGGATGTCTATCAACAAAGAAGGAGAGAATGGTGAATTGCTACTAACTGTCCAACTGCACATCAAATTTAGTATTTCTTATGTATTGTGTTTCCTGTATGTTTCTCCTATATTCACACAGAATAAGACTGTCTCTATGCACTAAGGCGATCCCTAGGGTACTTTCTTGGAATTATTTTTTCTTTTAAGTGACCATGAGGGAAACCAAACTTTAGATCATCTTTACTCTGGTGATTCACCTCTATTCATGGTGTTCTGCTTGAGTCTTGAGTTTAGGAAAACTAGAATTCTATGCTCCTCCATGACACACTGCAAAAAACTAACATATAGATGCAGTAACCAAAATACATCATTAATAAAGAAACACAATGTACCTCCTTGATCAAAGAGGTTAAAGACTAAAAGAGGTGAGCTCACCTGATCATTCATTTTATAGTTGAATACTATATTTTTGAAATGTTGTCTTCCACCCAAAAGAGCTTTCCTTACTGTGACCCAATTGGAAAAGTTGTTTCTGAATCAAATCAAACATTGATACCTATAATACATAAATCTTCATTTGCCTTTCTATGTAATCTGGGAATAGTCATTTTTATATAGCAGATATTTTACACATTTCATTATAGCTATCAAATCCTCTCTGAGTTTTCAACGTTGATTGAAATTTTAAAGTTTTTTCAACTGTATATAATTAATCATGGTGCTGAGTACATTCATGTTTGTTTCCTTAAACCTTTTTAAATTTAATTTATTAACTGATTTATCACTTAGTGATTTTTATCTAGAGTTGAGTTTAGGATATGCTAAAGAAAAAATCAAACACTTGGCTTTAGTTTTTGTTTTTAAAAACTGTTTTTGCTTTATGATTTCAGCTCAAGTTTGAGTTAGCATTTTTAGTACCTCTACTATAGCTTAGGTTCAAAGTGAGGTAAATATTAACTAATCCATCCTCAATTCAAGAACTGCAGAAATAAGAAGGCACTTTCATATGCATAGGTATTAGCACTGTGGTGGTTCAATGCTACTGAATCTTTGTGTTAAGCCACTAACTCAAACTGAGGAGTGTATTTGTATCGTGTCTGTAGTGGGAAGTGGCTCTATACCCACACACAAGGAGCATCTTATCCAGGGGGGATGTGCCTGCCTATTTATTCCGCCAGTGTTGTTAAGGTGAGTCGTGCTCTATTTATAACACATTGCTTAATCAAAATGTTGAATTTAAATTTCTATAATGTTCTGGGTCCCCTTGAAAGACACCACTTATGCATCTTGTCATATATACCTGCAAACATGTTATGAAAACTTACATTTCCTTTATTAAATGAGAAAAGAAATATCTTACAAAAACCTGCTGATGAATAATAAAGGTAAAGCAGTGTAGCTAAGCATTCAAATGAACATCATGCATGGATTAACATATGGTTAGCAAAGCTCTTTAGTCTGTTAAATATAATTATTTATAAGGACAAAATGTAATGACTTATTCAGCAAGTGAGGATAATTGTTCTCATGCTGAAAAGAAAATGTATAAAACACATAACACATGTTATCAAAACGGCCTTGCAACTCATATTCAGAAAACACAATCCATTTTGAAATCTCAAGTTTCTAATAAATGCTGACAAAGTAACCCTATTAGAAAAACTATTGATAACCTGAATGTGTGTATTTATTTCTTTTATTTTTTTGCTTAGTTGCACTGTGCCACCTTGAACTTAGAAACTAATGCTGATTAAATTACTACATGAACTATTTTAATTTTAAAACATTTACACAGCTCTGTTTATACCTATCTATACATTTACCTTTGGAATTTCAGTAACATAGGTTTTGCATAATACAGTCCATCTACTCTGATGTAGGCTGTTACCACTTCACTTACATTTTAATCAGTCCAGGAAACGTTTTAAACTTTACATGAACCAAAAGGATATGTTAAAAATGTTTCATTAGCTTTATAGTAACCTGATAGCCTATCCCTCTTTGGAAATATTTCATCATTCATATAAGCATTACAATATGTGTTTCAACTAAAAACCAGGCTGCCATGGATATTATATCTCTGATCTGTAGGTTGCTGCATAATGGAAATTCCATTCACAAGATTATGTGCATTGTTGTTTAGTGTCAGATTAAAAGCAAGAGCATCACACAGTTTTGTGTCCCCTTTGAATAGCTAGTATTCAGAAGGCAATCATTAACATTTATTATGTATTACAGAACATTTGCAAAATAGTGTACCATAAATGGCATGGCTAATAAAAGAAGGAAACTTATTTATCACAGTTCTGGAGACTGAGAGGTCCAGGGTCAAGGTGCTGGTAGATTTGGCCTTTGACGAGTCTACTGTCTGGCTCAGAGCTCACATGTTCTAGCTGTGTCACCACATATCAGGTAGACAGGGAAGGGATATCTGGGTACCTTCTTCAGAAGGGCAGTAATCCCATTTGTGAAGGCTCTGCACCCATGGCCTTGTCATCTCCATTCTTTTGGGCTAGGCTTCAACAGATACATTTTAGAAGGACACATGCATTCGGCCGATAGCACCATTAGTATGTTTTAGCTGTAGCTGTGGTTGAGTCTATGTAAACCTAATGGTGAATACACACACACACATACACATACTTCAAAACTTTAGAGCTAAAGACACTGAAAGTGTGATTTTCCCAACCGTATTATATTATAAAAGAGCTGAGGTACATGATCTAACTAAGAGCTAAGACTGCATCTTTCAGCCACAGCCAAAGTGCTATATAGGGACTTCAGTGTTCTTCCTTTGAAAACTTTCTAATGAACATTTTGTTTTTTTGCATCAGGATCTTTTGCCCGACATAAACATAATTGCAAACAGAATGGCACATCACTTGGGACACAACCTGGGGATGCGTCACGATGAGTTCCCATGCACTTGTCCTTTGGGAAAATGCGTGATGGATAGTGCTGGAAGGTGAGGCTCAGAAAATGCTGGGAACACATTTAAATATTTGGGGAATATATCCTAGTAAATACTTTAGAGAACTATTTTAGTGATGTGTTGATACGAAGTGTAATTTTCTGGAAGCTACAGAAACAAAATCAGTTATAATGAGTAGTGAAATTCTGGAGGGCTAAACCTTATTACCTGGTAGTGTTCCTTTTTAGTGACTCATGAAAATAAGTTTTAACACTCCATCAGCACACGTTATGAAAGTATGCTATGATCAATTAGCACCACTCTCAAGAAACACAAATAGGTGAGAAATGGATCCTATGTGTCCATCTCTACTATAATTTCCTGCCTCACATCTTTACCCAAATCCATTCTCAGCAAAGCTTTCCCTGGCCACCTAACCCAACTTCTCAATCCTCTTTCATCACATGTGTATCCTGGTATTTTTTTTTAACCCCGCTCCCTTTTGTTTTTGTTTTGTTTGGTTTGGCTTTCTCCTTTGTACTTTTCCCTATCTAAAATATCCTATGTAAAATGTAAGTAGATTATTTATTACATTATTCCTTCACTAAAATATAAGCTCCTTGAAGTCAGAAGGGTTTGTCTTTTCTTGGTCACTGCTACATTACTATGGTTGAGAAATTCCTGAGAACCTGTTAAGCCCTCCATAAACAGTTGCAGCATGAATGGATGCCCAGCTACACTGTGATTCAGCTGGTGGTGAGCCCTGCCCTGAGGATTGTTAGACCTCTTCATAGTAGGTGTGTGTAATGCTTAGTGCATGCTAAGACTGTGTCTGTGAATGACTGTCAGCTCTTCCATATATAGAATAAATGACTTAAAATACACGAACACAGTGGCTGGGGCATAAACTGAGAGCTCAGACACCAGTATCTAATTTTGCCTGGTTATCTATACAGTTAGTCTTACTCACAGAATTCCCATCCCCATCCAATGTAATCATGATTCTTAAAGTACTTCTGTGTTCACTCATAGTGTGAATAATACTGTTAAGGGAGACAAACAAAAGATAGAAGGGAACTTTATTTTTAAAGAAGTATTTTGCATTCCTAAGCATGCTTATAACATTATTAAACAATTTGGCTTAGGCAAACATAGATAATCACTCTGTACCAGGCATTGTGTTAACTAGTAGGTTTTTCATTTGCTTTTTATTTCTGAGACAGAGTCTCAAAAGTTGCCCAGGCTGAGCTCTTAACTGGGATCCTTTTGCCTCAGCCTCTCAGAATGCTGAGATTACAGGCTCGAAGTACTGTGCCTGGTTTGGATGTTTTTTTTATTTTTTAAATTGAGCATGATACATTGCTTTGTGGAGCTTTTAATACTGCAAGGTTGGTGAACACAGATAACAATATTGTAAAACTATTTTTATCCCAGACTTGTGGAGGCAGACATGGAAGCAGCAAGTGTGGACATCTAGTCCAAAATGTGGGCTTCAGGAATGATTTTCTAGAAGATGGATCACTCAGTATTTTCACTGAAATGTCATGTGTTAGCTGTGTTTTAAGATGTTTTCAACAATGATGAGCCTAGATCCTGTTCTGCTCTCATAGTGAACATTTGAATTTGTCCTTTCTAAATTCTTCATACGACTTTTACAGCTGCTGTGACATAGTACATTGATATAGTAAATCCTGATTTTTATCTCATTCTGCCTCTAGCATTCCTGCAATAAAATTCAGTAAATGCAGCCACACCCAGTACCAGCAGTACCTGAGGGATTATAAACCAGCCTGCCTGCTCAATATTCCATTTCCTGACAATATTAAAGACTTCTCCTTTTGTGGGAACAAGAAAATAGATGAAGGAGAAGAATGTGACTGTGGCCCCATTCAGGTATTTGAGAACCATGTTGTCTTTAAATTATAAAGTTTACATTCAGTTGAAATCTAAGCAGGGATATAGCCATTAATCATATTAACTATCAAGTTCCTTTTAAAAGCTTTTTAAAAACTAAGGTTCTTTCCATATAAAGACAGGATGTTGGGGAAGTCTCGTTTTGGTTTCTTAGGAAATTATACCTTGTGCATAATGACCTTGCTAGAGCTCAGAAGCTTCGCACTCACTTGGTTTGTGTATTAATTGGCTCATTCTGTGAGAAGGTCCCTCAGCTGTCACTATGCGTGAACTCTTATGCACGGTAACATGTAGCCATCTTACAAAACCCCTTATAGTGAATCAACTGAGTTTTAATCCTGACAGCAGGGGGATATTCTTTGTCACACCTGGACAGTTCTCATTGTTAGGAAACATTTCACAGTGCAGAAATTCTCAAAATTTTCACATCACTATTACAGCTTTGATCATTGGGACATTTAGGAACAAAGCTTTGACAAATTTTAAAGTCATTCTTAATCTGTTTTTTTCCCTGCATAGAACTAGTTCTTTCATAAGCTCATTAAATAAATATGTGTCCTAGACAATTTACCGCTCAAATTGAAAGCCACATACAAAAATATGTGGGCTGTTGTTAAGGGAATGGACTCTGGTTCAGTAGGTCTGGACCTGGGCCATGAGTCTGCACTGCTACCAAGCTGCAAGGTTCTGTTGATGTCACTTCTCTGAAAACCATGTTTTTAAATCTATGCTCATCTCAAAAATAGCCCAATAGGACAACTCTCATGAGACCTCACAATCAGAATATGGACAACGATGTGTCTAGAGATATAAGAACTCATCTTTATATGATTTAGGGTAAATATAATGGGGCTCTTCATCTTGGAAACTGATTCTCTTGCCCAAGTGTCATCTTTGGAATGGTTCTACAGCTTCATTCCAACACAGGAAGTACCTTACCTGATCAGACATAGACAATTTTATTTAAGTAGGTAGGACTTGTAGTTATTATACGCCTCACTGATATTATACAAAGATATATTCTTTTAGAAGAAAGGTCAGCCTGGTCTGCTTGTCATCTTGAACAAAAGTCAAATTTGGATCTTTAGAAACTGTGTTGTCTCACATCAAATTTTGGCATAAGGAAGCAATAGGAACTTCCAGGGAATGAGAGCCATCAGAACAGAAGAGGACAGAAGCTATAGACCTGCATGGAACTGCACCCCTGCCCATGAACACTCATAAACTCTGCAGTATTGAAGAGCCAGGAGGGAAGGAATTGCAGCTAACATCCCAAACTCAAACTTTGAACAGTAACCTTTATCCATACATTGTAGCCAGGGATCATGTAGTTGTCTTTACTTCTGAAAAATTAATGAGTTGATTTGTTGTGCTTCCATTTAAATAAAAGCTAAGCCACGCATCAGTTTTCTGTTAATTTTTGATTATTGCCAGGAGTGCACCAATCTTTGCTGTGATGCACACACATGTATGCTGAAGCCAGGATCTACTTGTGCACAAGGAGAATGCTGTGAATCTTGTCAGGTGAGATACTTGGTTGGAAGATAGTTTCTCTGCTTTCAGTTTAAGTTATATAAATCCAAGGAGCTGTTGGCCATGGACAATCACCATAAATTCTTGGCACTATCTATGCAGAGGTGCTCAGACTTCTGAGAACAGGTGATGCTGTGATCTGGGGAGTAGAGAAGCCAGTAAGCATTTTTTGGTGTTTTAGGAATGATGTCACATGACCAGACTGTTCTTGCCCTTCTGTAAATTATTACCAACCTACATAACCTCATCCGGGAGTAAAAACTGATGTCCCAACAACTTGAACTAAAAGGACAAAAGTATTATACTGGGATTTCAAAGTAGTCATGGCGAATAAAGCAGAGAAATAATCCTAGAGGAGACTAGATGACTCTGTCCAAGGATTTATTGACACTTCAATCACCCTTCTGGGCTGTAAGCTCACAAAGGAAAGAAACATGACTTTTCAACTTCAAATCTCTCCAGAATCAGTACCAGTAAATGCATATTGAACAGCTGAACAAGAGAATTCTCCACATGATTGTTTCCAAAGTTTTAAAATTTTTTATTCCAGGGTATTTTTCCAGTTCATATGGAGATACTGGTCTCTTGGGAATGGAGATTCTTTACTATAGATAGGGTTTCCCACTATATGCAGGTAGCAAGCAAGAAAAATATAAGATAAATGAGAATTCTTGCTCATTTTACCATTTTATATCCATTACACTTCTATCTAAGGCTGCTTTCGTAACAAAGTCCCAAATCATGATCTTATTATGCTTAAAATTACATAAAAGTGAAAGCATTTGCAAATGACAACAGTCCTCAGTGGAATGGAGAAAAAAATTAGAACGTACTCTTAGAGCCTTTTTTGTGTGTGTGTGTTTGTTTGTTTGTTTAAAGATAGATTGCATGGTCAACTTTTTACATATTTACTGGAATTTACATTATCTAAGTGTGTCAAAAATGCAGTCTCTGTTTCTCTTCAACAGATAAAGAAAGCAGGGTCCATATGCAGGCCAGGAAATGATGAATGTGATTTTCCCGAAGTCTGCACTGGCCACTCCTCTGAGTGTCCTAAGGATAGGTTCCGAGTCAATGGATTTCCTTGCAATAATGGAGAAGGCTACTGCTTCATGGGGAAATGTCCCACACGGCAGGATCAGTGTACTGAGTTGTTTGATGATGGTGAGAGATTGTCACAGTGAATGATTAATATAAAGACAATAACTTCTCCTTAAGATTTTGGGACAAGACTGACAATGATAAAAATTTTGATACTTTTCCAAAGTATTGCTTAGTATCTGTTTGAGTATTACCTCTGTTAGTTGGTCCTTCCTCCAATATTAATTGTCTGAGTATGTTAATTAATGTGCATGTGTTATTGTTTTATACCTCCATTCCTACTTACAATACTCTCCTAAAAACTATTCAATGGAATAGTTTTTAAATTTTTTATTCCAGTCTACTTCACACTACATGATACAGGATGATACTAAGGTCAATTGCATAAGAAAATAAGGTGTTTTAAGATTCCCAATTTTCCTGGGGTCTTTGGTTCTTTTACTTTTTTCGAATCATTGTGCATTTCAGACGCAAAAGAGAGCCCTCCTGTCTGCTACATGCTGAATAAAAAAGGAAACAATTTTGGTTACTGCAAAAACAAGGAAAACAGATTCGTTCCCTGTGAAGAGAAGTAAGTGCCCAGTGAAAAAGCAGTAAGTGCTCTATGGTAGGCTTTGATGAGCTAAGACTTCCAGGTCTGCCAAATGACATTCTGTAGGAATTTTTGCATGTGGCAAAACAGAGAACAACCATCATAAAAACTTATGGCCAAGTTCAGCTGTGCTCCTCAGCAAGCGAGCTGGAAGTGGACAGTGATTTCCCTTAGTTTACTCTTAGCAGCTGCCTGAGATGGCAATGGGGGTTACTATGGGAATAGACCTGCAGCTTTGTTATCAGAATCAACAGATACGCTCTACAGAAGGGAAGAGCAGAGAGGAATCCCAGTATCCTGATGAAAGTCATGTTATTTCAAGTCATTAGTGAAATGTAATCTTCTGTAAGCTTGAACTAATACAGATCTGTGAGAATCATAGAGAAATTTAAAAGTGATTGCCTTGCATATTTAATCTCCTCTTCTGAGTTTCCAGGACCACGACTTTAACCATCTAATGCTTTGCTTAGTCATGGTCAAGCCTGAATATCCTGTTGACTAACTTGAATCTAAAAAAATGTGACCCGGCTTCTTTGCAGCAGGCTGGTCTCTGAAGCTCTGTTTACAGTCCCTAGTCTGAGAATTCTCTCCTTCCCCTCCAGAGATGTGAAGTGTGGCAAGATTTACTGTTCCGGAGGACACCACTCACCTCTCCCCAGAGAAATCAAAACCTTTTTTCTTAAGGATCGAAAGCAGAATGTCGTCATCGAATGCAAAACCATCTTTTTATATCACAATTCTAAAGATATTGGTCTGGTTGATTCTGGAACAAAATGTGGAGAGGAGATGGTGAGATGGAAATTCTTTGTTGTATTACAACTGACTGGTTCAACTGCTCAGAAAGAGTGCTGAGTCTTATAATTGGTTCCAGGGGGAGTTACACATGGGAAATCAGGGAAAAAATGGCTACTACTTCTTTATTTTTGAGGAACAGTAGCAATAACACTGTGATATTCCTTTTGCTTAATTTAGTAACATAAAATGATATGTAATTGTTATATATAGGCTTAATTAATATTTCTACTAGACTTATAGTGATATTTTTTGAATTAACATAACTACAAAATCAGTATGGGTCCCTCATTTATTTTATTTATTCAACCATATATATTGGCCAAGTATGAAGTTGTCAGAAATTACGCTAGATACAGATGATTTAAAGATGAGAATACTTGAAAATTTCATATAGTAAACTAAAGAGATCATCACAATTCAGTCACACCATTTTCTTAGATTCCAGATTGGTTTGCATCTGGAATCCAAAGGCAGCAGTGGCTATGTGCTCATGGAAGATGGGTGATATCTTACTTTTCAGTTTCAACCTGGTGAACATTTTTAACACAGAGAAAATGGGAAAGACTTGCTTACTTTTTATTTTTCAGCTTTTAAACTTAATTTTAATTGACACTTGTTGATTGTACAGTTACGGGGACAGTGTCATATTTTAACCCAATGTTCAGTATGTGATGATGGAATATGGCTATGAATGTGCTCATCACCTCATATATTTATAACTTTTCTGTACTGGGAACATTCAAAACCTTTTCTAGTTAGAAATAAAAGTTACGGTTAATGATCACCATGCCATCATACATTAGAACTTACTCCATCTATGTAAACACAAGTGTAACCTGTTCAGCAACCTCACCATCCCCTTTTCTCTCCACCCTTCCCAGCCTCTGGCAATGATTCTGCTTCCCACTTCTCTGAGAACAGCTATCTTAGCTTTCAGAGGAATGAGAACAGGTGCAATGCAGAATCCATCTCTCTGCACCTTAACACAACCCATGCATACTTTCAGTATCTCTCAAGCTCCTCCCTGTAGGCACAAATGACAGAATTTTATTGTCTCTTATGAATAATAATCATTGTTGAGATGTAGCACAGTTTCTTCATCCATTCATCTGCTGATGGACACATAGGCTTTCATGTCTTGGCTATTATAAATAATTTTATAGGAAACACAAAAGTCTTGTTAGAAAAAAAACCTATGAAGGTACGCAAAGGCACAATAATGACACATTTAAAGAGCTGAGAAATTAGTTGATCCTTGAGCTTTGGTTGGAATGGTAAATAATGAAATGGAATAGATCGCAAGGAATCACGTTGGAAAAGTGTATCAGACCAAGGTGAAATGTTAGAGCGTGTGATATGAACAATAGTAAGCTAATCAAGACGATATGGAAAACATATTCCAGCACTCTAAAAAATCAGCTTCTTGAAATAGAAGTTTTCCACTGTGGTGTATTTTCCCTCTGACTCTATGCCACCACCCACAAGTTTCAGGATGGCATTGGTTGTTAGGTCTGAGAGAAGGGAGAGGAGGAGAAGTCCGCGGGAGGAATGGAGCGGAGTGGACGGCCGTGAAAGTAGTGGTCAGCGGTGGCTTTATTCCGGGAATGCGGGGAGGGGGCCCCCGCCGCCGCCGGCCCCGGGCGCAGCCTCCACTGCACCGAGCCCGGGGCCGGTCTGTGGTCTCTCCGGGAACACGGGGAGTGGAGACTGGCGCGCTGGCCGGCGCTGGCCGCTGGAATCTGGAGGTCTCTCTCTCTCTGGCGAACTCTCTCGGACACGTGGCATGGGGGAGTCTAAATAGCCTAAGCTTAGGGCAGCACCCTAATGCCATTAGAGATGCACAGGTATCTCATTGGCGCACAGGTCCTTAAGGATGGGGATATAGGGTTACAATCAAGTGCATAGGGGGCAGGGGGGGGGGAGGAGTTTAGCTGCAGCCTTTTCTGGTTACAGTGTTCCATCTGGGCCGGCAACTCTTTCATTGGTAAAATGTGAAAAAGAAGTGAATTGGAAGGCAAAAACTCAGAATATAAAAGAGAGTTAGAACTTAGTAATTTAATGATGACTTCCATTTCAAGTCCATATATTTTAAGTACAAAGTTTCCCACTGACGGGCCTCAAATGGATATCAGAATGATGAGCAGCCATAAACTAGGATTATTTTAGGACATTCAACAAGATGGAGTGTATGTGGCTTTAGGTTGAAGAAAATGGCAAACAATTATTTATTTACTTTACATCTGGAAAACCAGCCTGAGACCTCAAGCAAAGCATGGCATCCCCTTGCTTATGATCAGTACAAAATGAAGAAGGGGGCTGTTAGGAAGCGGATGCTCTGGAATACACTCCTTTTAGTGCATCATGCCCCTGATACCACAAACACAGAAACTTGTCATCCATGAGGGAAGACATACCAGCCTCAGTCCTACGGGCTCTTCAGCCAGCAACTAAACAAGGAATCCATGCAGAGCCAATGGGGGTTTTCACAATGAGGAGTTTTCAAAGAATATTCTCGTAACTTTTGCACAAAATGTTAGATCAAGCACAGTGAATTTAAATGTACAAAACACTTTTGTGTTTAAGTATTTTATTTTTTCTGGATAAATTTTAATTTGGCACAGAAAGACAGGGCAAACACACCGTAGTGCTCCGAGGTTCTTTTCCTTATACTATATTGTTAACAGCATGAAATACAATGAAAAAAAAGAAGAGAAGAAGAATGGAGCAGGGGGAGAAGAACAAAAAGAGGAAGAGAAGAGGAAAAAAGAGGACAAGGGGGAGGGGGACAAGGAGAAGAAGGGGAAGAAAAACAACAATGCATAAAAATTGTGAAAAATCAAAGAATTCTACTATGCATTTAATACAAATTATAAGTAAAGAAAATAGACTAGGACTGAAATATAATTAAATAATTTTTAAATTCCTGATCTGAAATAAATACATGAAATAAAAAGTTTAGTTAGTGTCAGAAAAATTCACATAAAGAAAATAGCTGTGGTACCTTCATGTTATTAAGGTCAAGGTTGAAAACTACATTTGCAAGTCCAAGAGAGCAGGTCTTTGTTTGTCTACAGGAAAAATTACCCCCAGATACTATCATGTTTCTCTAGAACAAGAAATGCCCAAAGATAATGGAATAATACGAACAGAGTTTGGGGAACACTGGCAATGCAAAAATCACAAACAGCTCAATTATTACTGAGACAGGAAAGTAGTAAAATGACACGTGTTCCTGTCTCGTGACTAAAGAAATAACAACTACAGTTATTTTCTACAAAAAGTGCCTAAACTATTTCAGTCAGTTGAGAGATGGACTTAGAAAGTTAAATAAGGAAATACGACTTTAAAGAAGTGCTGGCCTGCAATAAATCTATAGAATTGTAAAAATTCTAGCTATTCTTTCCCAATATATTTATTAGAAAAGTACTAAAATATGTTCAGTGGTGACTAAAAATCATTGTTACAAATCTCTGTTGACTCAAAAGTGCCCAGCTGAAGTGAGACAATTAATGATGCCAGCAAAAGGCTTAGCCAGTAATTAGGCTTTTAAAGCTCTAGGTCTTCATATTAAATCAACAGAAACTTGGTAGACACAGGCTAAATTATTTTATGAATGCAGAATTTTTGGTAGACTAACATGCAAAGAATAAAGACACTTTTAATAATTAATGCTTTACATGTGTTAATGCTCACACATAAACTCATAATCCTGTAGATTTCTACATCTACCGATTTTATATGTAGAATTTTGCAAAAGAGAAAAACATGGATTACATTTAAATCATATAAGATGTAAATTTTACATGTAACAAAAAAGATTACAATGTCACATAAATTATAATTTCTTCTGTTTCGTGCTGCTTACCTCACTTCTAGGTGTGCATGGATGGCGAATGTGTAAACATTGAACAGATCTACAATTCAAGCAGCTGTCCTTCGCAGTGCAGTGAAAACTCTGTAAGATCTGATTGTTTTTTAAGTTAGCATCTTATCAGTTGTTTGTTTATAAAAACCTTCAGTCTTGGGCCTGTAAGTAAGCTCTTTTTCTTAATCAAATTTATAGTTGACATTCATTCTTTTCATCTTTCATCAATTCATTTAAAGAACTAACCTACATATTCTTACACACAGATATTGCCAGTATTGCAAGGGAATATTTTATTAATTTATAATCTAGGTATCCAACTATTTATAGACCTATTAAATTTAAACTTGAACTTTAAATTTTAATTTGTCACATAATTACCTGTAGTTAACGTATGTCTACATCAATACTCTTTTAATATTATTGAGAAAAAAACAAATAATTTAAATTTTGAAACTCAACACTACTAAATTTATATTGATGGGTGATAGCTTTCCTAATCCCAGTTAGTCATGCTTTAAAATTTTTTTATATATGCACCATTCTTTCAAGTAGGGTATAATTATACCCACATTTCTGTACAGTTTTTAAATCTTCATTACAATCTCAAAGGATGAATTACTATGCCCATGCCCATCTTAATGGAACCAGGTACACTGATGTTGTGTTAGGAGGAAAGAAGAAGGGCCTAGCTTTAACTCCAAGTAGACGACCTTAGAATCTTTTCTCCTAGCATTACACAGTACTCTCGTGATAAACTAAACATTCTCCCACCACCTTTTCCCCTTCAATATTATCTCACTGTTATTAAGCTTGGAGTCTGCTCCTTTGTCCATGTTACGTCCATCTTTAGCTGAGGCTGTTCATTGAAGAGCATGGATGCTTTCTGGAATGATAAGTCACACAAACCTTGTTCCTCTGTCTGAATGTGTCAACAGTATCTCAGGCTTCCTTCAAAAGTGGTTTCTTCTTGTATTTTGTTCCCTTTTGTGCATCATTAATTTTGGTGCACAGTTTAGTTCTTAATCAAACAGCATATGTGAGTGTGTGTGTGTGTGTGTGTGTGTGTGTGTGTGTGTGTATGTGTATGCTTGGTATAGAACTAACATTAACATAAATGAGTTAGGAAACATAGCTATGTGGGGCACTGGATAAAATTGTGTGCTTGATTGCTTCTTCAGGAGGATGGTCATGAATCTGAGTGTCAGTGTGAAGAAGGACATATACTTACAGACTGGGAGGAGACCATCAATGTTACCAGTGAGCATCCTAGACTGTATTATCTCACATATATAAAAAGCCTACTCATTGAGAGTGTTTTTCCTGATTTTCCACATTAGCTGTGTATGTCTTATACTTTTACACAATATTTGGTTTATTTGATCATCTTACTATTTTGCATGTTTGGAAACCTAAGTTGAATTTGCTAAAGTTGTCCTTACAATTCATACATCCCCTTTTAGCTAGATGTGGTGTAGCTCTTCTAAAAAATGTGCAATCCAAAAAGGCCTTAATAGCTAATAACTAGTAACAAACACTTTTCTTGATGATTATGGTTTCCCTTAAATATAACCAAATATTTCTAATACAGATGAAATATTGCATGTTTTGCCTTTTTATCCTATATACGATATTAAGGGGAGGAGACACTACAGAGTGTCAGGAAAGAAATAGCATTGGGACATCTCCGTTAACTGTCAACATTCCTTTGTCCTGAAGTTGATGCCCTGGCCACAGTCGCCCACCCCTTGTTTTAATGTTGCAGGTATCTGCATCATGGTCCTTGTGCTTCTCATGATTGTTGTTGGTATTGGAGTCATTGTGTTATTAATTCGTTACCAAAGATGTGTGAAGTTGAAGCAACATCAGAGGTAGGTCCACATTTTGTGTTGAAGGTCACAATTACTGATAATATATAAGCTTGGTAGCCATAAAGGATAATAATTAGTGTAGGAAAATATTGAGACTCTTGATAAAGATCAGATGAGAAGTACGACAAATTAAACTTTTACATACTTACAAATGTTTATAGTTATCAAGCTTTGCTACACTTTACAATCACCTGTGTGTCTTTCAAAAACTATTGCCCCAAGAAATTATATTCAGTTGTTATAAGGTACAACCTGACTGTCCATATTTTAAAACATCTCTCAGCATCTCTAATATCAGCAGTCTGGGAGGATGAGGCAGGAAGATTTCAAGTTACAGTCTAGTATGGACAATTAAGTGACTTAGTAAGTTCCTGTATCAAAACAAAAAATACAGAAGTCGAGGAATATAGTACACTGTGAGGGCTCTAAGTTCAACTACAAGTATGACAGAAATCAAAAACAAACACAAGCTCAAAACACTCATATTTCACATTTAACCACAATCCTATCTGATGTCTTGTTTCCATGTGCGATTTCCTTCCCGACAGCCCACCTGGTGACATGCATGGAGTGGAGAATAAAGGATACTTGGGGGATGAGCAGCCAAGGAGATTTGAGCCAATTTTGCCCGAGATTCCTCCCCTACAAGTAAGCAGTGTTCTTTGTGACAGTTAATTGATGATAAAACCACAACTGTGTATGTTTTATAGCAGAGCTGGCTCTAACACGAAGGGAAGCAGGACATGCTAAGAAGTAATGTAACAAGATTTCACATACATGAAGCTCTCCAGCAGCCTATAGGGCAAGCGAGGGGAACTGAACTAACTCAAACAGGGAACTGCAGCCAAGACACTACATCAGAGCAGAAGATACTGACAAAATAGAACATTGTGCTGCACTCTAATGGAAAAATCCAACAACCACAAACCACAGTCTAAGCTATAAAAAGCCTAATAAATTTAGAACAATCAGCCATACAAAGTGCTTCTCCAAATAAAATTGTATTACAAATCAGTTACAAAAAGATAAGGAAAATGATTCCCAAATGCAAATTAGATTCACAAATTCTGAAAAACTCCTACATGAAACAAACAACCAAAGGGATAATTAGAAAGTACAGAAAAGTAAATAAAAATTAAACAACATATCAAATTTATAGGGTCCAGAGAAAAATTTGTAATTTTTTTTGAGACAGGGTTTTTATGTAGTTCAGGCTGACCTTGAACTATGTATTATGTCACCCAGGCTAGCCCCAAACTTGCTGCAACCCTCCTACAGAGTTCTGGGATTATAGGATTGTACTGTCATGCCTGGTTCAAGTCCTAGTCTTCAGCAAGACACGAAATATAAGAGCATTTGACTTACACAATTTATTAAGTTCTGTATTTGTTTTATGCATTTGTGGTTTTAATCTATAATTTATTTACTTATAAAAAGATTTAAAATAAATAAAACAATCAGATGTATAAATGGGGATGTAAACAATGAGAATTCCCAAATAAAGTATGAGCAGTAAAACTGATAGGAAGAATTGATATTATATACTAAAATTAGTCAAACGTATATTTCAAAATCTATAATTTTCTGGCATAAATACATTGAACAGAACTGTGCATCTCACAAAATATTTATAATATTCCAACATCATCATTTGCAAGAGTTGAGAAGTCAAAACATCCTAAAGGTGCAAAGAGAATAAATGAATTTGCATTTGATGTGATGGGCCACTAGAGAGAAAGGAAGAGAATTGAATTACTGTTATTTACAACACAAATAAATCTCTGAAAAACACTGTTAGTAAAAGAAGCCAAGTTCAAAAGCAAAGTTTAAGCTTATAGATTATATTACATCATAGCTCAAAAAGTAGCAAAATCAAATCTGGTAGTAGAAGTCAGGATAGCAGATACTTTATAGAAGGGAGGATTTTCACGCACGACTTTGAATTTTTATTTTTGTTCTAAGTGGGGTTTGGTCACTAAGGTGTGTTCATCTGTGAAAATCCATCTGTGAAAATCCCTCATATACTCAGCACTTGTGTTTATTTTTGTATGTATTCAGACAAAGTAGAGCGTTCGTTAACATAGCAGCTTCGTAAACTACTACACCAAAAAAAGAAATGAAAATCCTGCGAAAATCCCCACAAAGTGTGACTTGTTCGGTACCCAGACAGCTGTGATTTCCAAAGCATTCAGCTCACTAAAAAAAAAAAGCATCTATGCAGATTAAGTAGCTACAAAGCTAGCCTTACAAAGGCAGATTAAAGAAGCAAGCAAACCTTTACAAGATTTTTCTGATTAAAAATGATAAATGCCATTAGGACCCAACTCCTGGAAAGGAGGGGGGAAAGGCTCAAACTGTAAGCCTAAGTGACAAGTTCCGGGTGTTTTAAGACTTTCCCAGAAGTTCTACCTCCAATATACTGTGTCTTTCCTACACTATGCTGGGGACCATGTCACCTTCCGTTCCCATGAACACACACAGGACATGGGACGTTTCAGCATAAACACTCCTGTTCACTGAACTCTTCAGAGGTGGATGGTTAAGTTAGTTTGTTGTATGACAGTTTATAATCATTTTTATCTATTTATACACCTTATTATACTAGTAGTAACCCTGAGATGGTAAAAACAAACCTTACTTGTCTATTTTTCTAAACACAAAATAGTATGTGATGTTTTCTAAGCTTGGATGAAGATTCTCTGATATGAAACCACACAGGGCTAATATCAATCCCAGAGATTTGCACTGAGTTTTAAATAAAAACCATATGCCAAACTACTAAGCACAATGTTTGATATATATTTAGCACTTAATATGTGTTGGTTACCTACAATGTCTTACATGATGTTTCAGTTTCTTTTCTACTTAAGGCTTCCTTAAATTAATATGTAAATTAGCCACACACCCAGAGAAGGGGGTGAAGCAAAGAGGTCTGAGCATAATAAATGGGTTCAGAACATCTACATTGTTACATTTCAGGACTGTAAACTCTTTTAGAGGGTTTGGATTTGGGACTGAAATAAGAGTACTGAGAAGAGAAGCTTGATAAATATTTATTGAAGTTCAGCATAAATTCTATTTATTACTCGTGTTACCTGCTATATGATAACAGGACTTATGAACATGTATTTTATAGGAGAGTTTGGGCCCTCTACTCTCACATTCTAGGGTTTTATATGTATCATAATATTAAACAAATAATAGTGATTTAGCAACACACCTGTTTGATACGTGAGTTTCTTACCAAAAGCCAATCCTCAGCACAACTGTGCTGGGAAAGTTCATTGCTGTGATTTCTCTGTCACATTCAGTGATGTTTGGTGCTTCTCCTCAGCATTCAGTGCCTGTCCCAGGTCCTGCAGTCACTGAGCCTTGCTTTCCTGTGTTCTTGTCATCTTCTGGGAGTTAACAGAAGGCACCACAAAGAGGGTGGTCTCACTCAAGCCCATGTGTATTTTAATGGGCAGTTCTGGAAGTTCCCAAAGACTTGCCAAAGCCAAAGTAATGTGGCAGGCTGTTGAATTTCAGGATGCAGACAAGTAGCTAGAAGCCCCACCTGGTGCTATGCAAATCACAGCATGTAAAGAAGCCCCCGTGCTTCTCCTGTGTGAGTTAGCCTTATAGCTAGACCTTAAATCCATCTGCTACAAGTCTATGAGAGAATATTGTTTCCATGCCTTTTGGTATCTGTGTATTTACTAGGAATACATTCCAAGCTGAGAAATATATTCTGTGGGCTTGAGAAATAGTTGTACTTTCTGAGCACAATTTGCATGGTAATGATGAGGGCTTTTTCTTTTTTAACTAACAGAATACTGAAGAATCCTTGGAGAGCCTTCCGCCCAGCTATTCAAGTCCCCACTATATCAGTCTGGTATGCTCCTGCCCCTTTCCATTGCCTGGGGTAGTCTATGTGTATTTCATAGTAACTTTGATGCCACTTATCCTCCTATTGGTTCCTGACAAAGGCTCAGTAATATCACACAGGCCTTTGATTGGAGGTAAAAGTAGCACGCTCCTGATACAGAAACAAACTTCTCAGGGTTAGCAGAATAAGGTGAGTTGTGCAAAGCCTGGAGCAGCCCTATCATTAAAATGGTGTCATTTTACACGTTGTCGATTCTTGTCAACTAACTGCAAATTTTCAAGACACATTAGTGTTATTCACCAGATTTTTGAGTTTATTTTCACCCCAAATGTTTTGCCCCAAGATAAATGCCAAATCCCTTCACCCTAATCCTAGTCCCACATCCGATGAGTTTTAAGGAGGGTTGAACAGCTCAAGGACTCTAGTACTTTCAGTCAGTGTTTAAAAAAACAAAACATCATTACAGAGCCCCTTGGAATCAGCCAGATTTTTAGTTCCTACACATCCTCGAAGTCATCCATTACAGGACCTCCAGAAGTGGGCACCGAATGCACCAAGATTCTCACATTTGTATTGCAAAATCAGCAATGCCTTCCCCACTGGACTGTATCCCAGCACCCATACCCTCTTACAAGTTTATTTTTAAAAAATATTTGAGTCAGGATCTCACTAATTTTCCCAGGCTGACCTCAATTGTATGATCTTCCTGCTGCAGACTGCTGGGATTACGGGCCTGTGCCACTGCATGCAACATGCTAAAGATTTTTTTTTTTTAAATGCATGACAGAAAGTAAGTAATCATAGTAGGGAATCATAGTAGATTTTAGGCAGTGAGCCCTCAAAAACTGCAGATCACATGAAAGGATTTCAGGTTGTACTAGAAAGTACTGCTGAGATGTAGGATCAGATGACCCAGTTCTCCATGGAACCAGTGCCATCTGTCTTTGAAAACAGGTTTTACTGGGATACTAGGGAAAATAGTACCTGAGTGACGCTTAAAAAATGATTGTAAGTCTCTTAATTAATATATTCTAAGATTTATGAGTTTATGTGGACTAATGATTTCTGATAAACTTTATTTAATCAGAACTATCCACTCCATCACTATCCCAGAGGAATTTACAAACATCTCAGATTTTCCACTTCCAGAGCAAGAAATGATCTCTGTGTGTGTGTGCTCTTATAGTGTTTGTCTCCAATATCTGTTGCAATTCCTAATATACATTAATTTATTACAGAAATCTGCAAGTAAAGATCCAAGAGGAATTATGGATTCCAAACCAAATGCCAATGTGGTAGGTTCCCAGTGACAGGAAGTACTTCTCCCTTCTGTGTTACAAATGCTGGCATCTTTTTGTGTTGACTGAGGTTGGGTCCTTGTATCAAGAGAATAGAATGCCTGAGATTTTCATTATATGCTGACACGTCCAACAGAGAATTCTGCCAAGAATGTTTTATTCCAAGAGTTTTGAACATGGTTGAAGGAAGAAATTAAAATTCAAGTGTTTACGGTCTCCATGTATATTAGAAATTAGAAAAGCAACACTTTTCTCTCAAATTTCTGTTAGCCACAGTACACATACCGATGAGTTCTAGAAGTAATTAAGGGCATAATTGTGTTGGTAACTGCAGAAAAGGAACATTGTTCTCCATGATTTTTACTTACTAAATTAATAAATGACTGAAGGTAAAGGATGATTTCACATTTAAAATTGCTATTTTGGAAATATGAGAAAAAGTCGGGAATTTTGTCAAAGACAAAGGACTATTGTTTGGCTACATTTCTGAGTGTTTGTTTTCCGGCCTTCCTCCATTGCTTTGCATTTCCATGATGTACTCAGTCTGGATCGGTATCAAGTCTTCCTGCACAAGTCCTTCTTGGAAGGGCTCCTGTCTGATGCAGGTGCACTGGCTCTTCCTATTCTCTTGATTACTACATACATTGATGAAACATTCACATTTGAAATATATTGTTGTTGATTTTTTTACTTTTACAAAACATTCAGTTTCAATATGGCAATTTCATGCATGCATAAAACATCCTGATCCTTCCCCTGCACAGTGGCAAACCTGTCCCAGTGTGGAAAGTGGGGACACCCTAATCTAAGCAAACGCTTGGGGCCTTGTACTGGAAAAAAATTATCCCTTTTTCTTGCTATTGACCTCTACATTTAAAAGTGCATAATAAATCATGGCTATGGAGGTCTTTAGAAGTGTGAACATACATAGTAGAACAGAATCCAGGAAAGTCATTCCAATTAGTAGACATAAATGAGTGACTAAAGTACATATTTATGGACTTTACAGACAGCAACTTATTTGTAACCATCTGTTTCCATTTAGAACTTGAAAGTGGATACCCAGAATGGTTCTGCAAGCCTGGGTTGAGAACCTGGATGTGAGATCTTCAGTCTTCACTAGAAATTTCCTACATAGATTTCAGTAATTTCGCAAATGATCTTTATGAAGTCAAGAAATGTTTAAGAGAAACAATTTTTTTCTGCTAATATTACTTATAGAATTCACAACCTATGTCATAGACATATGCTACAGAAAAACAAATGTCTTGTGGCTTTTCAAACACTTTAATATAAATATAAGCAATCTTTTTGCTCTAGTGTTCTGCTGCAAAATACTAAACTAGTTAATTTTAAAAAATCAAAACTTGGAAGATAACTTAAAACCGGGAGTTTCGGAAGCAAAATATCATTTGTAAATGGTTACTTCTTTGGGGGCATGAAGTACTCGCTTTAATTTGAATGTGACATTATCACGAAATCTAGTTTCAATGCAACTGTTTCTTGCACAAATGCCAAGGAGGGAAGTGCCAGGGTGAGGGACATAGTTTTCAGGAGTTAATAAGCAGTGAGAGAGGCGGAGCAGTAGTTGAGGTGACTACAAAATAGACCTTGAAATCACCCCCACTAGCAACAGGACACAAAAGCTCCTGGCTGCTCTGAATTCTTAGCTTTGTCTTTCTAGAATTCCTTAAGAAGCTCAGGGTGAAGCTGGAGGGGTGAATAGTTTAGAAGCTGGGAGCAAAAGCTTGTAATCTCCATGCAGGGCTTCAGAGGTCTTCAGGGTACAAGGCCTACATACTTCCTGTGTAGTTCCTGAGCGCTGTTACTTGGGGATGACGCTTGGGGCTGTCTTGGGAATGACTTGTCTCCTTCTGTCCCTGCCTCTCTGTAGGTTCTCCTGCGTTTTCTTTTCTCTTTGGGAACTGTTAAGCCTATGACTGTTATTTTGTTTTTCATATACAAAATATAAAGTTCTTAAGTACTAAATGAAAATGTTCTGATTCAGTGAACTGAATGAAGGCTGCAGACAAGGAAGAAAGGCTGTTGCCCTTGGTGACACTGCAGGCTCCACCCATTTGCTTTCCCTTCAGTGGAGTGCAAGGCAACCATGCCGAAGCCCTCCACACCTGCAGGCTTCCTAGGACTTTGTTGGCATCAAAATGACCACTTTACAAAATGACTTGTAAATGTATTCATGAAGCAAATGACAGCCATTTAAATATTTTAATTAAATTTGTGGGAAGAAGAATGAGAAACTCCATGACTGACACAAAGTAGCTTCATTAAGGCAAACAATAATCCTCTGATGCCTAAAATTAAGAGACAGTGATATGTTCCTATTCTCTTGATTACTACCTATGTTGATGAAACATTCGCATTTTGAATATATTGTTGTTGATGCTTTTTACTTTTACAAAATATTCAGTTTCAATATGGTAATTTCATGTATGCATAAAACATGTTTTGATCATATTCCACCTCTGTAAACTCAAATAATACTCATTTTAGTAATATCTTACTCCCTTTTTTAAAGGATCACCATCTCAATTTTTTTGTTGCTATTATTCCCATATCTTTTCAGGAAGACTAAATCACCACCATCCAGTTCTGCTTTGAGATCCATCTAACTACCAATTTCTGATTAGTAATTTTCCCAAATTGCTTCTTCTCAGTTATAAATATGTCGGGTAGTAGCCACATTCTCCTGCCTAATAGCTGTCTGGCTAATCTTTAGTTGTTTTCAAATAAACCTGGGCTTTCTGACAGCTAAGACTTCTTTGGTTTCAGGTAGTACTCTCTGACTTCCCAGGCTTCTCACACCAGGTCTTAGGGTTTTGTCCAGTCCCTCTCAAATGCTACCACTCACTTCTCCATTCTGAGAGTTCCTCTCTTTCCTTCCTGAGCCAGGCACAGATTAGGAAGCAAGCTTTGTGTTTCCTCCTTACTAGTGGTTCAGCTACTGAAGAGAAGTTTGCCCCACAAAGTTCAGGGTGGTTGCGCAGGTGTGTATGTCAGGAGTTCTAGCTCCATTCTCTAGGACAGAGAGTAGCAAGAACTGAAATGAAGCCATTTTGCTAACCAGAGGCTATAGTCAGTTTTTCTGGTTGTGATGTCTCCACAAACTCCACACAAGCTCCACTGGTCTCTAATCCTGGATTTCTCCCAGTTTTACAGCTGCGTTCCTGTATCTCATCCTGTTGCCTAGAACCAGGGTCTCCAGGTTCTACTCATGTCACTCTAGTCTCATGCTTTCTGGCTCTTTCTGAATCCTTTCTATTGCTTCCATGCCTGCTGACAGGAATACTGCTGGGGATGGGCAGATCTGCTAGATCCATGGTCTAAGGCTTCTTGCTGCTCTGCTGCGTGCTTCGTCCTCCTGCTGCTGGACCCTGCCTGAACTCACAAGTCTGCTAACTTCTGGAATTCTGGGTGGGGTATTGGGCTGGCTCTGCAGCTGGGTCATGCTCACCTTGACGTGGTCACAGGCAGATTTGTCAGAAGTGAGAGAAGCTTGAGCTTCAGAGCTCATTATAGATCCATCCCCTTCCAATAACTCATATCTTCCAATTTTCCATCTATCCTCTTTCCCCCTGTTGTCTCTTCTTCCTCCCTTCCACCCACCATTCTTCTTTCCTTCCACTCATCCTTCCTTCCTTCACCCCTTCTTTCTTTCCTTCTTTTATTACTTTTAATGCTAAGAGTAGAACTTAAGGCCCAGTTCATGCTAATCATGTTGTCCACCACTGAGCTGTTCCCCAAGCCCTCTATCCTTTTATGACCTCATTGGGCTGTATTTGGGTTGAAGAAGGGAAAAAATGTTTTATGAGCAAAAATAGCAACCTACAGGAAACAAATAGGACAAAGATGCATTTTCACTAGCTCAAATTTGTAGTCTCAGCTGAAATGAAGAGCAGACCAGCCAGAGGTGCATATTTCAGCTATTTCCCCACATACTCCTGGGATGTGTATGCATGGAGACAGGGACCTGAGAAAGTGCTTCATAAGAATTAAAATTCACTAGAAGGGAAACCAGCTGAGCTTCCGCTAAGCACCCCACACACAGTGGCCTAAGGGCTGGAGTTCCATATGCTCTTGGGATTTGGGATTTAAGTAAAAGCTGTACTCAACTCACTGAACACTAAATGAAGCAGACTGAGGGGTGATTCATAGAAAAATAGGATATAATACATCAACAAGGGTGAAATCCTGAGCAGAGACATCAGGTGCTACACACTACAGGAAAGGGCTCAGGGCAGGAGCGTGTGACTGGCAATGAATTCTGCAACTGAAATCAGCAAGTCACTGTCAAAAACATTCAGAAAATCACCTCAGCCCATATCTGTTATCATAAGCTGCATAAATGACATTTGCAAAGGAACCTCAAGTTCTACATTAGTTCTTTGAGAAATAAAGCAGTGATGATCCAGCACTTTCCTCCTTTCAAGGCCAATAACCAAGAACCCCAATACTGGGTCAAGTATTTTTAGATATCAACCACCTCCACGCAGCCTCTCTGCCACTGCCATTGAGTATAAAATTCACACTGGATGTACTAAGATGGGAAAGTTACATTCTAAAGGAAGGTAATAACATCCTTATTGCCATGTGGAAGTCTACAGAGCTGAGGATTCATGAATGACATTCATGGGACCACTAGGTGGCCACATAGCTAAAGTAAATTTCAGAGTAGCTGGAAAACCTCTTGGTGAGTCTAGTCTTTCCCAGTCATCACTAGCTCTTCAAAATCCTGACATTAAAGTTATTAAGAAACTTGCTTAATTATATTCTTGATTGTTAGCAGTGAAAATCTAGGTAAATTATCCAGGATACAGTCTACTCTGCAGGGTGTAGGCTAAAGCAAACACAGGTAGCCCCACTCCTAAACAAAAGGAGGACAAACTGACATCTGGAAACCTTTGGATGGGAATTTTTTGATTGGAAAGGCAAATTCTCTTTATTTTTATTCTAAAGTCAACAACCTTGATGTTGGGAAGTCAATAGACCAAATAATTGAGTCTCCTGGAAACTATTGTGGGGGTCTCATTTTTGGTTTTTCAACTATGTATTACTTGTTTATTGGGTTTTTTTGTCCTCTTTTCTCTTTCTTTCTTTCTTTCTTTCTTTCTTTCTTTCTTTCTTTCTTTGTTGAAAGCCTGCAAAATTAACATGGTCCACAGCTGCCATGGAAACCGGAGGTGCTTCCCCCTCCCCAGGGATGTGTAATGGATAATACATGTCAAGAAAAGCCAGCAGCTTGTGAGTCTTATCTGACTTACTGGTGGATCCTTGATGACAACCCATGTCCCTCTGCTAATCATCACCGAAGAGTGAGAAATATCGATTAGTTCCAGGGCTTATTGGAAGCTTCCTGATCACTTTCTAATAGAAAGTCAGGCTTTCAGAAATCTCAAGAGCCTTTGTGTAAGGAAGTGGCTGTATTGGCCCTTGGCAGAACCCATTAACATCTTTCTCCCCCGGAAAAGCTGTAATTTTGAGCTACATGGAATGCATATTGATTGCTATATACAACATATATAACTTTAAACATCAGGGTTCTCCGGGGATAAAAGATTCAGAAAAGGGGAGTCTTCAGGATCATAGGAACATTAGCTTGCTAAAGAGAAATTGTACAGAGTCATCTTAGAGCATCTAGGAGAAGTAGAATTAAAACACAGGGCTGTTAACACAAGGACGTTAGTGATTCACTGCAATAACAGGGTGGACAGGTGTGGCATTTGTGGAGCATACTCGCTTTTCCAGGTGTTAGTCTAAGCACTTCGCATGCATAGTTTGCATTTAAAATAACTCTAACCCCTATTAAGAATGTTAAGATCAAAATAAGTCAAATAATTTGACAGATAGCAGATTAAACAGTACAGTACCAAGTAGTGTCTCTTTGAAATAGGATTGCAAACTAAGAACGGCATGCTTTTAATTGCTACTATGCTGCTGGCATGAAAACGATTTTGGCAGAAAAAAAATTCAACACACACATACACACATGCAAGTGAAATTAATTTATCTTACTGTCATTTTCACTTTTCCCCCACCAAACTTCCAGCCTGGGCAGCAACATTAACAATGCTGTACGGGTTTACACAGCAAGGAAGGAAATGGCAAGGCCAAGCAGCCGTCACCCCACTGAGACAGAGGTTGGTGGGATGCTGCTGCTGAAGGGAGAGCTTTATTTGTGGGGAAACGGAGGCTGTAGCACCTCCTCCCGTAGCCCCCAGAAACCACCACCTAACAGGCACGTGCTTTGTGATCCCAGCATCTTTGTTTTACAGAGGCCTCAGGTAGTGAAGTCGGCTTCCCACAGACAGGACTGTCGCTAGGTGGTGTTCAATTCCACGCAGTGTGCTCCAGTAACTCTGCAGCTGCCTCTGCCACCACAGTGTAGGCAAGGGAAAGCAGAGCATTATTGACAGCAGAGGCCGGGGGGGCCGGAGCTTGGCAGTGATCAATAAAGAGACAGAGCCCTTTGCTACGGCTTTGTTTCTTGCTTTAATAAATACAGAACGCACCAGACGAGCCGTTACTTTGAACACAGACAAAAGGACAGTATCTGAATAGCACCTCCATGACTCCAGGCACCTGCTACGCCCTTTTACATTCCCGGGAAAGAATTATTTCACAGATGAAGGAACCAGGAATAAGAGGTCCTCAAACACACAGCTGGTAAATAGAAAAACAGAAATGTGAACAAACCTCTGACCAAAGCTGTGATATGAATTTTTTTGTCACACACTCTGGTTCTGAGCTGACTACAGAGTCACAAGGGCCAATTGAATGACCTCAGATCATACCAGAAAGGGCAGCTTTGATCCCAAAAGACACAGGGTAGCAGAGACCAATTAGCGGGGGCCATCCACCCTCACCCACGTTTTCTTTGCAAAGCAGCAGTGTCACTTTCACT